TTATTTAAATGAGGATATAGAAAGAGCATATCTATTGTATAATTTTGAGATAATTTGAAACGAATGGATTAAAAATCCGACTAGACTGTTAGATGAGGCATAAAAAGTGCAACGATAAACAAAAAATTTAGTAAAAAGACACATTAATAAGATAATATAATTAGTAACCTAATTTTATAAATAGTGAGATAATAAGCATATTTAAATTCTAATCTTTGAACCTTAAAGAATGCATAGATTAAAAACGATAATCATTGCATCAAAAGTTACATTTTCTAAATACAATGCTTATTTTTCTTTCGGTGTTATTTAAACTTACAAAATTATAAAATAAAATATATTTTCTTACTATGAATAAAACCAGTTGTATAATACTATGAAAAAAAATTATGCACTATTAGGACAAAAATATCTAATTTATCAGTATTTGCTTAGAAAGATGATTACCTTATTCATTATTTTACATACAGTATAAAAAGTTGGTACCTAACTCACTTTGAATTCAGTATGCAAACATAATAAGTCTAATAACAGTAACTTTAGTTCATTATTTGAAACTTACGATGCAAGTTATTTATTTTCCAAGATGAAAGCAAAATGAATAAGGATTCAAATATAACTAGTAAATTTAAAAATATACGTGAAACTTTTTGTCAAAACAGATTGTTATTAAGCTTTTTTGAAGTTGAATTTATGTATTGACTCAATTTTTATATTTATTTACAACTTTTCTTTTCTAATTTTATTTATTTGATGATTTTTCAATTTATATTAAAGTAAAATTACTGCAACGAAGGAGAATTCATATAAGTACTAAACTACAATTCATTATACCCAGAAATCAATTTCATTTTCTATTCAAATTGTTAATCAATTTATTTAATTTTCTTTTCTTCGGAACTACGCTAATTATGGTTAAATTGCTTTTTATTTTAATATTCTAAGATTAAATCAGGAAGATTCTTATGAAAGTTGAGCTATTGTTGTCCTTTTTGAAATAGTTCAAAATTTCCCCTGAGCAAAATGTGAAACAATCACTTACCAATTTCCCCATGATTATTTTCTACCAAACTAAAACCTTTCTGATCAGTTTACTGATAACTTAAGCCATCCAATATAGCTTTTATAGGTGTATAAATATATAACCACCTCCCCTTAACTTCAGACCATATTTTTATACCCATATGACAGCAGTTGATAATTATTTTGACCTGCTTCACGGGGTTTCATTGCACTTTCTCGCGTAAAAAAGAGAACTGTCTTATTAAAGTATTGTTTTCGGTACGAAACCTATCTTTCGGGCGACCTTGATGCCACCTATGTCTTAGAAACTTCAACATATTGTCACGAATGCCAGTAGAACAGTCGGATTACACAAGGTTATCAATTTATTTTCGAAGATTCTTGTTCGGATGTCAAAGTGAATAATCTGCCGCTTCGTTGATCATCACATTCCAATTTGGAAAGCAAAAGATTTGTAGTAAATTATTTTACTACATGGTTGATGCAGATTTCTACCTTCAAGGCTAGGAAAAAAATGATATAGATCTACACTAATTAACTTTAAATGGATGGCAGCATTAACAGCTAATCAAAATGTACAATTTCCGATCTTGACTTACATAACGCGTTAATTTATGTATAAAAAAATGCTATCAGTCTGAAAAGAGCAATTTTACGCTTCTTTTGAATTAGGGATAAGGAAACAAATTGACGCGACGGACCTTAACAAATGAAAATATTGTGTATACAAAATTCTAATTTGTAAATGCTTTGTCTACTTTTAAACAAAAGGTTAAATTATATTGAATTTGAATTTGAAGGCAAAATCATATTGGTTTTTTGTAAGTGATTTTTGGAATCAAAATTTTTTTTCCCCACATAAAATAGATATTTTTATTTAACTAGTTTCAGAAAAATATTTTTAAAAAGATGTTACATCATCCTTAGTGTTTTTACATCATATGGCATTCGTTTTTCTATTAAAGGTATACCACGTGATCAATTTATTGCTCTTACTCTAAAGGACAAATTCGAATTTTTGCTCAAATATTTTGACTCTAGTTTGATGCGTTTTGAATTCCAAACGCAAAGAATTTGTAGAAAGTTATTATACAATAAGGCTGACAATTATACAATAAGTTCTTTCTTTAAAGCTAGAAAAGAATGTCTGGAAATCGGTTAAGACTTACACTATTTAACTTTATGTATACAGCAGCATCAACTGATAATCAAAATGAACTGTCAATTAGGTTCGGGAACAGTTCGCGTTAGTGACATTGACAATGTGATTATTGTTGTACTAAACAAAACATCTCTTGAAAATTCTGTTATACTGAAACTTTATAGTCCGGCAAAATAATAGTCTGGTTAAAAATTGAAATAAGCTGAAGAATGGCACTCATTTCATATCATAACTAGTATACTGTTAAAAATTTCTCGGGAAAAAATTGTTAAATAATAGTTTATTTAATTCTTATTTTACCATACTCAACTAAACAGTAAAATAACCATAAATAAGATGGTAATCAAACGGCTAACTGTTTGAAAACCATTCATTAACTACTTTAACCTAATACGGTTAAACAACCAGAATTTTATCGAACCAACTAAGCACAGCCTAAGGAATCCACTAAGTTCCTTGAAACTGCGTACATATTATAGCCGAGAGGGCTAATCTCTCTGTCTTAAAACCGACAGAGTTGAGGTTCGAGTCCTAACGTTGACACCACAATATTTCCTACATCCCTTTCAACGCATGAAGAGTTTCCAGTGTACTGCACTCCCCAATCTGTGTCCTGTACTCTCCAGTGCCCATTACCTAAGAAAAATTTTAGCTCCTATGTTCAGTTAGATATCTTTTTTATGGTTATGATATGAAAGTTCTCCATGATTCCACAACAAATCAATACATCTGGGGGTACTGGATTGGAAATTGGTCGTTCTCTGGTTCAGGTCAAAATTACTATCTGAATGGAAGTATGAATGGGTCCACCCTATAAACGAGCTGTGACGTAAATGTAGCTGAAGTCGTATTCATGGCCGTAGATGGCGTCACTTAAAGTCAAGAAACTTACCTTCTGCTTTATGCTTTTCCTGGTAAAGGTCTGTCTTTCTTTTAAGGATTCCTCGCTTCGGGAGTAAATTTACAGACAATCCGGAAACCTTTTCTTTTATGGGAATTTTCCTCTGAGTTGTAGTTTGTCGCAATTATAATCCAATATCTTATTTCTTTTAAAATTTGATACCTGAACAAAAGTTTAGAATAAAGCTCTTTATTTATGAAAATTCCAAGCAGGAGATTCGATTTTTAAATGCCGCTGGATTAGAAAATCATGTCCCGGAAATATCCCGATGATTTATCCTGTTTTTTAAGCTTTGTAATCAGACTTTCAGCGATTAAATTTTGTTTCGTCCGTTTGTTTCGTAAACTTAAATATCGTTCATGTCTTACGAAATTTCATTGATTTCGGCTACAATGACATTAAATCATCCTTTATTCAAATTCAAAACATGTTTTTAAATCTGTAGTTTCCCTATGATAATGTTATGAAAAATATTGCAACCATTAACCTGGTACTAAATACTATTCATCTGCGAAAGCAAAATCTTTTATTACAGTACGTTCCTACTGAAAGAAATGGTATTACACTGAAATATGCACTTTCTGAAGTCATAAGGCATATGTAAACGCGTATGCACATCAAACTAAACACAAAGCAACCCATCATCGTTTTTTCTCATTTCACATCTATTTTGATCAAATCAAAGTAGACATTGCGCATGCGCAAAAAGTTCTCAGTTATAAAAATATACGATTACGCATTAAATATCAGAATCAACTAAAGAAACATTAAATATCAGAACCAATTCAATGTTTCGTACAGTCCTCCTTTGCCCCCATGTTTTTTAAAGATTTTTTTATCGGTATCAGAACGAATGGATGTGTCCTTGAACACCTAAATTCACTTTTTTAAGGAATCAGTTGTGTTCTGATTCAATTTTGGTTGAAGACTGCCCCCGGCCGCTAAAACTGTATCATACACGAAATTTTTTTTAATGTGGAGGTATTTGCCAGATAAATTGGTCGAACAGATCTCAAGACCTGAAACCGATAGTTATTACTGACAGACAAGTTTCTGCTTTAAATATTCTTTCATGGTCATTACATGGGCTGCGGCCAATGCATTGCTCATATAAAAATGTGATGTACTGTTTTCTCGAATACGAAACTATACTGCCCAGTGGGCTATTTATTTATTTATTTGTTCTAAATAATTTTAGTCTTTAAGCCTTTGCCGCAAGTTTTTATATTGCATTCATAAAAAAAAATATTTAATGTTCCTTTCTCCCATATTTCTTATTTTAATGTTCAAATCAAGCACAGAAAGCATGTAGTACCTCAACTTTTGATAAAAACGAGCAGAAAGTAAATCCAAACCAACTTAAGGGTGTTTCAAGCCATAAAAGATTTTTTATTACAATTGGATTTTTAACGGAAGATTTATGGATTTATAACATTCAATTGATTTTATGCGTGTTCTTAAGATTAAAAATAGTACTTACATTGAAACTAATTTAATTATTAATTAAGAAGAAATTATAAATTGTCGTCAAAGAAGATATAAATTAACTATTAAGTAATTATTCGTGTAGATTCATTTATTTATTTGCATATTAAAAACTACAATATCGTGATTATGATCAAAAATAGAACACCAAAATCGCATTATTGCACATCACTTCCCTCTACCAAAAAAGTTGCCAAACTTGCCATTTTACCCAAATCTAAAAAGTTTCTATTTTTTAGTTCAATATTTTTTATTGAAGCACTGTGTATATTGAATCAAAAGATATAATCATGAGTACAAAAAGAAAATAACACTATGATTTTAAAAAAACAGAGAAGGAAATTTTGTGCAGGAAATTAAGATTCATTACCAAATTTCATTTATTGTAGATAGAATCCAATTTATTTGTAACAAATTAGTTTAACTTACGATTCTCCAGTTTTAAGCATCTCATAAGCCTCGTTGATTTTATCAAGAGGCAAACGGTGAGTAACTAGTTTTTCAAGCTGTATATCTCCCTTCATAGACTTCTCAACAAGATCAGGAACATCACGAACTGCTTTATAAGCTGTAGAAAAAAATGTGCTCAAAATCAGATACTCGCTGCAGAAGTTGTTGTTCTCTTATTCTACAATATGCACTAGAATCAAAAACTTATACTTAGCAACGTATGAAAAATTATAACGAATTAGTTAAAATTTAAACTTCGCCTATGACATCTTACATAGCTCCCTAAGATAATTCCAGGACTGAAAAATGTTTCCAGAACACACTTACCTCTCCAAATGTTTTGTCCTAGGACACATAGCTGAGTCTAAGGTCTAAAACACTATTCGGACAAAAGGAGACCATTGTCTCGAGTCCTGAAACTATCTAACTAATTGCTTCCTGGAAGATGAAGGCAATTGTCAAACAACAACAAAAAACAGCAACAATTATCACCAATTCTGAAACTACCAAAGTGATTCTCGAATCAAACATAAGAGAAGACAACTGTCACTTAAAACTAACTGGAGACAATTACCTTCAAAAATAAGCCAGAGATAATTGTTTATTTCCTGAAGCTACTAAAATAATTGTTAAGATATTAAGTCGAGGGGCCCTAGGTTTGGCGAAAATTTTCATTCAGTTTTGATGAAACACCGTTTTCGCTGTCTGCTGTCAATGACGTCTTCTTTGGGTTGCCAGAACGTTTGTTTACTGTTATGTGATTGGCTCTTGGTTAGTTTTCATATATATTGGCGTCCCGCAATGGACTGATCGTTAAGACACGGTTCCCAGCAGATCATCAAAGTCAAGCATCACTGGCTGGGGTCAGTGTGCGGGTGGGTGACCACTTGGATTAGTCTGTGTCGGGACCGAAGGTGTGCGGTATTGGTCCTCGTAAAACTGTTCTACCGTAAAGTGCTCGACTTCACGTGCAGGTCATCGGGCTACCGAAGCGGGAGTGCCATCTCCTCTTCAGAGGATCAAAATTGTGATGGCATGTTTTCCGATCATCCTCAGGGATGTTTCCCAGACCACCACCAATAGCCCATTGTGAAGCTCTAGTGTGACGCAAATTAATTACAATAATAACAATATATATTGGCATATTTTCAAATCTCCAACCATAAGAAGGGCCGCATATTGTAGACTATATCCAAGAAATCAATTGACTTCTCTAGTGTTGGGCTCAGGAATGTGTGGCAAAATCCCCGCTTGTTGCGGTAAACAATTCGCATACAGATTACATGCCTCTATAATAAACAATTCATTTTAATTGCGTGAAACAATAGCATTCAATCTCAACAATTAAAGTCAGAAGCATGTCGGTTTTTGAAACTAACTTAAAATAACTAAATGGTAAAAGTGAATTAAATTATTGATAAATCAAATTTGAGCTTAAACTATAAATAAAACAATTAAATAATGGTTATTAACGTAAAGGTACTCACATCCACACCAAGAACCACATAGCTGTCTACCAAACAGAAGATCAATCACCCCCGCCTTAACGAAAGCTTCTTGATCAGCAGATCCTATTATGATTGTCTTCCCCCAATGTAGTTGACTGGATTTGAAAGCTTCATTCTGTAAAATATTAAGTACCTTTAATAACTGCAATTTAAATAAAAGTAAGTGATTACGGAATTATTTGAAAAACTATGTTGTTTGAAAAGTAAAATTTATGACAGTACGTGTTACTCTAAAATTGAAACGATGAGTAGATATAAAGCTTCCAGTTGACATTTTAGTTAATATAAAAAATTAGCGATAAATTTTATACGTTGACAATAAAAAATTCAATATTAAGCCTTGCCTTAATTTCCTACACACACGCTTCCAACTGATGAGTCCTAATATTACTTAAATCCTTTTTAACTGTTATCAATAATATCCTTTTAAACTGTACATTATTGCGGTTGCACTCGTAGTGTTTTAATTTTCTCTTAAAAAACAGATTTCCTAAGGTTTTTAAGCTATTGTGTTTAAAACTGCACGCTAATTTGACATTGCCGCCTATTGTTGGAACCTTGGCCATAAATTTAACTTCGATAATAACAAAATTATTTCTACCCTTTTCACATCAACTCCTCTTGATGTTCTGGAATCTTTTTTCATTCATATCTTTGTTCATTAATTCATATCTTTGTTCATTAATTCATATCTTTGTTCATTCATATCCCTATTCTATAGTTAATGACATCAATTCTGTGTCGCCCTTTCTATTCCAAATGTGTATTTGCCTCTTAAAAACATCTTTCTTCTCCTCGGATACTGTGGTTTTTACAGGGTTTTTTTTCTTTCATCTTTATTTTTCTATTTTTTTTTTCGTTATCAACTTTGAATTTTTTTAAAAATCTATTTGTATACGTCATTCGTGTGCAAATTACCTAAGAATGAGTGCTTTAATTCATTCACTCAAAACATATCGACATTTTTCCTCTGTATTTGAAGCTCATGACACTATTTTTACTGACAAGTATTTCGCAAACAGTTTGTTCCCAAATGCACTTGAAACATTCTTCTACTCTGAATGACTCAAAAATTATTATTTGCATTCATCTACTGAGATCTTCGAAACTTAAACAAAAATAGACTTATTTTATGTAACCAAATAAGACTAAAATAATTTTCTACTCAAAAATTTCATTTCAACCTTTATTTTCGAGGCTCTTTAATTATGAGTAGCGTAAAAGAAATTTATGAATTTAACACTTACCATGACCGGTACTACTCCGACTGAGACAAAACAGAAGTCAGCTCCTCTTGTGGTCAATTTTGCTATGGCTTCTGGTATATTGGACACTTTTTTGGGATTCAGGAAGTGTGTCATACCTAATTCTTTGGCTATAAATCCAAAATAACAATTCAGTAAACAACTTTATCAAACCAAAATTCAATGCAAAACTAAAGTATCTACATAAATTTCAAATATCCTCATAAAAGACTACATAAAATAATCTTTCTTAAGCAAGTTATAAAAAAACAGTTCATCAATAAACTGATCGTTTAGACATGGTTCCCAGTAAAATTCCGAAATAATGCAATAATGACTACGGCTTGGACACCAGAATTTTTGAATGACAAGGACTGCGGTCAGTAAGATTACAGATCTTAACAGATGGTAAGATCTTAACATTTGGGTAACCACTTTGATTAGCATGATTTCGATTAGCTGATTTGATTAATCGATTGATTGTTGAGACCGAGGCAAGGGTGTGCTGTATCGGTCACTGCTAAACTGTTCTACCTCAAAGCGTTCGATTTCGCGTGCGTGCAGTTCTTTGGTCCGTAAAGTACAAATCAGTGGAGTCATCCTCTCTTCAGAGGATCAAAATTGTGATGGCATGTATTCATACCATCCTCAGGGATGTTTCACAGACCGTCGTCAATAGCCCAATGTACAGTTCTAATGCGACGTAAATAAAGTAGCTACCTACCATTATAAAAACTCAGGTTATCCAACTAATCTTTAATGGTTCAATGATTTTTCAACTAAAAACCGTAGAACGGCTTTTTCATATGAGTCAATCATTCACAATAACTTCCAGGACTTTAAAATTAATGCATACACACATAACGTTCATTAATGCTGTTAAATATTGTACTTTAGCAGTGCCCTCTGTACATGAGAATAGCAACTATAAGGAGTGAAACTTCGAAAAAGAGTAGTTGTGAGTATGAAATATCTGCGGTGGAGGGCAGCATATGTTTGACCGCTCTCCATTTACTTAATAAATAGTATTAATTGCAGTCCGTTACATTTTTGAGGAGTGTTTTATTCTCTTAAAGCATCAACCCGCTTTCGCGACCGAAGACTATAGCAATTCTGATTGTTTATTCAAATTTCACCATGGTTCGCATAATAATTTCACAAATAGTAATAGATGCCCACTTAATGAAACATTTAATGATGTTTTAGGAGCAGTTTTTGCTCTTGTGAACTTAAGAAAAGTGAAATTATTGTTGAGATATTTTTGGAATGTTTCCCAGGCCACTGGGCTAAAACAGCCCAAAGTAACTTTTTTATAAAGATGTTAAAACACCTTTAAATTTGCTCACATAAAATATGTTTCAATTAACTTTTCTAATTTTTAAGTTTAATGAATAAACATCTCATGTATGTACTATTTTCATACCTAATTCAAACTTCTTGTCATTAATATCAATCCCAATAATTTTAGAAGCTCCAGCATTTTTACAACCCATAATAATGCACATGCCAACTCCTCCAAGACCCCAAATTGCACAAGTGGATCCGGGAGTCACCTTAGCAGTGTTAACTGCTGCCCCGTAGCCAGTAGGCACGCAGCAACCAAGCAAGCATAAAGTGATTCGGTCTGCTTTAGGATTAACCTGTTTAAAAGAAAAAATTAAAATATATATGAATGAAACCAGCATTCATGAAACTTCCTAAATTATAAAATATTTTCAAGATCAGTTTATATCACAAGATTGATACTATCCTCGCCAATTAAAAGAAAAAACTTACTATGAGGTAGTTTGAATACATTATTACTAATGTCATAATTTGCACAAACTACACTATAAAATGGGTCGTGTCATACTTCTGTAAATTTGATTTTGAACAACTCATACAATCATTTGGAAAAAAAACTTTATTTTAAATTAACAACAAATCACATAAACTTGAAAGAGCACAGTTAAATCTACAAAAAAAGAGAATCCTTACACCAAGCTCACGCGCATTTGCACCATTCGTGAATGTTTGCATTCGAGTATGAAATGGTGTCAATTTATTGTTGTCTAACACGTCGATCTACATCTACAAAAACAAAAATTTGCTTAAAAAATAGATAGGAGGGAGAAAACTAAGAAGGTAAAGTTTAAGTGCTTTAAAATTAGAACAGTTTAATTTTTAACTCTAACTCTTGGGGAAAAACATTGTCTTAAATTAAAGCTTTCACAGCTTTTCTTGGTAGAAGAAGACTGAAACCTAAAAAATGTAAAACTCAAAGAACAAATTAATTTTTAACGATAAATCATGCTGAAAAAAATTTCTCGAATTAAAAATGTTTTTTAAAAGTTTAAAAATGTGTTTTTTAAAATTTCAAGGATTTTTTTTAAAAAAAACTGAAAAGTCACATTTTAAGAGCTTTAAACTCGAAGCACAGTTTAATTTTTAACTATAGATCTAGTCGAAAAAAATTGTCTTGATTTAAAAATGTATTTTAAGAGTTATTAAACTTTTTCAAAAATTGCCAAATTGGTGAATTTCTTGTACCGAAATAAAAATTATGAATATCAATGAATAATTCCAAATTTTAGTTTTTTTTATGAGATCTTGCAATGCAACTCTAAAATAAATTTCCAAATGTTAGATAATTTAATCGTCAATGCATATTTACGTTAAATATTTGCATTTCACCATTCTCAAAATTAACATAGAAACCACAGGATATATAAGCACTGAAAAAATTTTAGTTATTTTAACATTCAAATTATTTTAACGTTGATTTTTTAATAAATTAAACTTTACTTCCATTATTAAAGAAATGCCAAGAAGGGATGGTTACCAAAAAGGGTTAATTTCAGTAACTGACATTCGAAACTTACTTTAGTAACATTCCATTGAGATGTCACTGTATACTCTGAAAAAGTGCTTATTGAAAAAAACTGACTCAGGAATTTCCCCTTGTATGACATGCGGGATGTGCCATCCATTTGAAGATGATTCCTCTAAAAATAAGCATAAAGATTCTCTTTTAAACAAGTAATATAAAAAAATTTTAAATCAATTTCTACTTAAATCAATAAAGAAAAATTTTATTTTAGTTGCATTTATTAAATAATTACAATTAATATAAATGTGTATAAACATATGACAGAATCACAATATTAAGTGGCAAAATATTTATTTCTGAAGTTATATCATGCTAAATATCTTATAAAAGGGAAAAAAAAATTCCGATATGAAACTAAAATTAATTAATTAAATTCAATTAATAAATTAATCATTGAAAAAAGTGCTACAAGTTTTTAAAAAAAGCATCCACTGCAAGTTTAAAAAAAATACATCCACTATAAGCTTAAAAAAAATACATCCATTACAAGTTTAAAAAAAGTACATCCACTACAAGTTTTAAAAAAATACATCCACTACAAGTTTTAAAAAAATACATCCACTACAAGTTTAAAAAAATACATCCACTACAAGTTTAAAAAAATGCATCCACTACAAGTTTAAAAAAAATACATCCACTACAAGTTTAAAAAAATGTATTTGAGCTTGAGTGGATGAATAAAAAATATTTTATCAACAATTGAATATTTGAACAAGATATATAAATATATAGAGAGAGAGTGCGTACTAATAGTAGAAATTGAAAAAGTATTTTCCTTTTGCACGAAAATGTATCTTTAAAATAAGAATCAGTCTTTAATCGCCTAGCAATTAAGAATTTCAGTGATATTATCAAATATTTAGTAAACATCATTTTTCAAGAACAGAATAAGATTAATTTTCTTTGGTCTAAGGGTCCTATTTAGACAAAAAAAATCAACTTCCTCCAAGTAAAACTATTATAAAGCAATTTATTTATTTATTGCAAAAATAATTAATATTTGCTTTAAAATTTGAAACTAGATTCTTATAAGTGAATGTAACAAAGTAAAAAATATTAAATCAAGTTTAAAATAAATAAATAAATTGCTTTCACATAATCCTCCGTCGGTCGATAAAGAAGAAAAGGAATCTATTTTCTGTCTGAAAAAGATCATTAAGTTGAATTATATTGAATCGTGTTTCGAATGATCAATGTTGTAATGTTTCGAAACAATATGTTTCTCTGCATTTATAGCCATTTGAATCAATTTTTTAGTTTGAATAAAATTGTTATTACAACTCCGAGAAAAGGTTACAAGAGGTAGTAAAATAATACAAAATTAAACAAATTATCAGTTTATTTTTTTCAAACAAAAATTTATTTACGCACGGAATAAAAAAGTATGATCGAAACTACCAGAATATGGTAAAATTTACTGGCCTTATGGGAATCTCAAAAAGCTCGATAATTTTTACCCAAGAGCTTGCGTAGTGATTTTGGTAAAAAAAAAAAAACAATAAAATATGGTTTCATAATGTGTGATAAAATGAAGTAAATGTGGTAATTTTATCAAAATACCTAAGAGCATGGCAAAAATAACAATTTATTTGGTTAAATATACTTATCAAGTTTGTATTTTTTTTCTAAATGTGTGATAATAAGAATTGTAATTTTGAAAACTAGAATTTCCAGGTAAACTGTTACCATATGAATAGGAAAGCTTCTGAATGGATACTTTTGCAGAAATTTAAGGTATTTTTGCGGTTGTTTTGAGGTGCCAAGGTTGATTTGAGGTTTATTCGAAGCTGATTTCGAAAAAAACCTTAAAGGGTCAACCTACCAAGGTGTATGAAGTTGACAACTTAACCATATTAAACAACTTAAATATATTAAAGCTCTCATAATACCTGCATATTATTTATACTATACCTTACCGGTTGTTTCAGACACATGTTACAATTAGGATTTTTGCAATAATCACATTCTCCACAAAATGCTTCAAATGTTAACACAACTAAATCCCCTAAAGATAAATCAATTAAGCTTATTTTTAAATTTCTTTTACAATATAAATAAACAAATAAAAAACAAATATGAGAGAAAAAAAATTTAGATAGGACGAATCAGAAATATAGTATTTAAAGTATGATGATAGATCATTCGATATAAATATATTTTCAGATGCACACACAGTTTTTAAAAACGTTATTAACTAAAATGTGCCCATTATACACCAATGCCTTGTCGGCCTTCAATTGCAATGATTTATGTACTAGGTAAAAAGTCGGATTTTGGAGCCCGCTCTAAACTATTCAGACGGTAGCGTTCGAAAATAAACTGAAAAGTTTCATTGGTTTTCATTTTAAGAGAATGGTGGAGACATTCTTTCTTTGTCTTTTTTGTTATTAATAAATGATTTTGTGTAGTAGAATTCAATTGTTTTTAAAATAATATTTTCATTTTAAAAAATATTTCCCAACTCTGAACCGACAATATCCTTTGCTGCATTTTATCAAAATAAAATTTCATATGATTGTTGTTGTTGTTCATTTACGTCGCACTAGAGCTGCACAATGGGCTATTGACGACGGTCTGGGAAACATCCCTGAGGATGATCCGAAGACATGCCATCACAATTTTGATCCTCTGCAGAGGGGATGGCACCCCCACTTCGGTAGCCCGACGACCTGCACGCGAAGTCGAGCACTTTACGGTAGAATAGTTTAACGAGGATCAATACCGCACACCCTCGGTCCCTACGCAGGCTGATCCAAGTAGTCACCCACCCGCACACTGACCGCAGCCAGTGATGCTTGACTTCGGTGATCTGCTGGGAGCCGTGTCTTAACGATCAGTCCACTGCGAGACAAAATTTCATATGACATATACATTAAGAAATTAAGAATTTTATTGGTACGTTTAAAGTAGAACGATCAAACCACATTCAGAAGTAATGTTTCCTAAGTTTGTAAAAATCATAAGTTGTACTTTATTATCCTTTAAGAATTTATCTATTTTATTGTTATTTGAAGAAAAAAACTTCAGATAGAAATATTCAAAGTGTTGATAAAATAATAGTTATTAAATTAAAAATAATAACACCGAAGGAAAATCATAACTTGAATCAACTGAAAATTCAAAAGGGAAATAACAACCGTAAACTGTAACCAATTAACTCCTCAAAAGTTGAAAAAATTAGGAGCGGGCTCAAAACTCACGTGGCTTGGAACAGGCCCATTTTTTAAAAAAAAAAATCCATAGAAAAATAGAAAAAAATTAAAAAAATAATATCAATAAATAAAAATAGAGTTAGTCAGTACTGGATAACGTAAAAAATAGAGAGATTTTGTATCTTTGTTGGTTTAAGTTTGGTTGAATAGCTCCTGGGAAATCAAATTTTAGAAATGTCGTATATTTAAAATTTTATTTCTCAATAACTATTCTACCGATTTAACTCAAATTTTGTATTTCACCATGTAAAGTTAGATACTTTTGAATGATGTAAAAAAATTGCACACCTTACAAATCAAAATTTTTTGATAAAAATAATAAAAAATTGTAAATAGGTACTAAAATTTATTTTTTTGCACAGAACTTTGGATTGACGAATTTTATAATCGTGTGTAAAAATGATTCAATTCGCTCTAAAAGTTCTCGAGATATGGAAAAATACGCAAAAAAAAACTAATATTAATACTAGAAGGTTCAAACTTTGGATCGCTCTACTGATCAAACTATGGGGACAATATTTCCCAGATTGCTGCTACATCCTATATTTTAAGGATCAGAAATCCGAATCCATCGAAAAATAGCTATGTTTATTCTGATAAAGTTCGTCTTTGTGTCTGATTTTGTAACTTATTGAAATATCGTCAGTACTAATTAATTAGCATATTTGTAGTCACCATCTCAAATCATAAAGAATGAATCCCAGAACATGAAGATCCGATCATTAAATCAAAAGTTATTCAGGATGGTCCATTTTCTTTCTTTTTTGGGGGGAGGGGGGCTCTGTACATATTTAAGAAAATATAAATTTACTAACCTGACTTTAGATGTGTAACACCTTCCCCAACGCTTTCAATTATTCCTGCTCCTTCATGTCCCAAAACTAATGGAAACGCGACACTTGGGAACATTCCCTCTTGAAAATGGCTATCTGTGTGACATATTCCTGATGACGTCAACTGAGAATGAAAACAACTCATTGGTTTGCTTTTTATTTAAAAAAAAAACTAAATAGATGATTGTCGTTATTTCTCTTACCAGTTTTAGAATAACCAGTTTTACCAGAATTACCCGTTTTTGAACTTAAAATTAATAACTGTTATGAAACAGCTTTAAAGAATTTGCGTTTTGGGTTTTTTTTTATATAAAACTTAAAGGAAATCGAATTTTTAAGATGATTTATAAATTCTTCAGCCTCCTAACCCCACAGCCAATGAAAAAAAATCGTCTTTATTACTAGATTTTCGAAATCAAAATGTGTTTTCAAAGCATAAATGTGATGCAATTAGCATTTAAATTTTTTAAATCATGAATTTTCTTTTAATCAATAGCATGAACATAAAAAAATTATTTACGGTTTCACTCAAATCAGTAAAAATTGCTTATATGATGATATTGACTATTTGATTAATGAATATTTGTTTATCAATTGGCTATTTAGTGTTAATAAATAATAACATAAACTGATAAATATTTTCAACATTTGATAAATTTTGTAGACAAAATTTAGTAGAACTAGTGAATACAATTAATTTAATGTGATTATACCCTTAGAAGTAATATATTTTGAAGTTAAATTACAAATCAAAGGCCTACAAAAATTCCTGATTTTTATTTTTAATTATTATTTACAATATAACTGGATGCAATATAAAATATTTCATTATAAAGAATGCCCATTATTAGCATGAACTGTCAAAGTTTTTTTTTCCATCATCGTGGGAAACAGCATGGATGCATATTTATCTCTGGTTATGTCTGGTTATCTCTGGTTATCCTCAGGTCTCCTAAACACACGTGATTTAGTCTCTAACATATCATAGAGCCCTCTCTGCGATTTTCTTTGATTGCAATCATTTTGTAGGACAAGAGAAAATAGATCTCTCACAAAAACTTGAATTAATAGCTCCTTTTTTACAAATCTACTGTTAAGTTGGGGCCCATAGGTTTTATAAAGCTGTCTCCACATTGCCGAAAACGTTTCAACTCCTCAGCATATATTTTTTTTTTACCATGGCTTGTGATAGATGCAAAAATTTATCATGATTAGAATCTTTATCAATTTTTTGAAATTGTTCCAAAAATCTAATCATTTTCTGATTACTCCATTAAAAACCGGAAGCTGAATTTCAGGATAAAGTAATATCGTTATTCTCGACGAAGTATTTTCTCCAAATACAGAATCTTATTCCTCGGAAATTGCAAATTTTACAAGTTCCCGTTCTAAAAGACGCCAACAATCAATATATGCTTTCAACTCGTCAAATTCAGCCTCGCATATTGCTTCATCAACTTCATTAAGATTTTCTCTCCTTTTTATTTCAGTGTCTATCATTAAGTTCGCTTTTTGTTCAATGAATTTAAATTTAATTAACTTGTCATGACTGTTTAAATTAGATAAAAATATGCTCCTCAAATAAATTATTATAGTAAGTTAATTATTTATCACATTACACTCGAAAAATACTTGTATTCAATAGTATAATCTATTCTAAACATTGAAGCTTTTAAAACAACAATAACAATCGTTGCTAGTGGAACAAAAAAATTAGCTAAAGTAAATCGCTTGCACTTACGTGGAAAGTAAATATTATTCATGAAAAGTAAATATTATTCATGAATTGTGCTATATGAGTCTCTTTACCTCTCTTATTTTAAACCTAGTACACCTCCAGCTTATTTCTTCTGCCCAACAGAGGGTAGCCCAAATTATACGAGATAGAAAAACAGTACACTCATTGTGCTTCAACTTTCTTTATCACATAATGATCTAAGATGGAGTTAGTTGATCCACTTCAGTTTACATAATAAGAATTTAAAATTTCTCGAATGAGGAATTTTTCAGGCGCAACTGATATGCTGGTGTATGGCTTAGAAAGAAATGCCACAAAAATCTTATACTATTTGTAAAGCAAATAAAATTAACTCTATATCAAAAATAAAATTTATTACTAACTTTAACTCGCACCTCGCCATTTTTTGGCACAGAAACTTCTACAATCTCTATTTTGTAGGGTTGATTCTGTTCCCATACAACTGCTGCACGACAAGTGATTGGCTGAAATATAGCATGAAGCATAAAATGAGAAATTAAAAAAAAATTATGCGTGTTTATGTTTTTTTACTTTGTGTGTTAAATGTTTTTTTTTTACTTTGGAACAAGGTGTATAAAAGCTTTAACTATTTTTCGTGAGAAATATGTATCATACACAACCTTATACAATAATTGAATTATATAGAAATTTATTTTCGAAAAAGTCAGATACTTAAATTTTGATTTCTCTGGAACTATTCGACCGATTTTGTTCAAATTTTCTATTTTGCCATATAAGATTACATTCTTTAAAATGATGCAAAAATTTGTAAACCTTACAATTCAAAATTTTTTCGATCATTCTTAAATAAAATAATGAAAAATTATGAATAGCCTCTTGACTCATTAAGATTGAGCTCTAGAACGTAAAAATCCGATCTTTAGATCTAAAGTTATTCAGGGCGGTCCGTTTTTATTAATTAATTAATTGTTTTGCGCATTGTGCATTTTTGATTTACGATATTGTATGCCAAAGATTATATCTTGTAAAATGATATTGAGGATAACAGTTAAATGTTTTGAAGAAAACTGCTGTGGAGAATAAGTTCCGTGAAAATATGGGAAATTTGAGTAGTTACAAGAGTAGAGTAGCGATTTATATGCCATAAAAAAGGCGTTCAAACAAAAATGTCATATTAATAAAACATAATATGTTAAAATTCAATTAACTAAAATAAAATAATATTTACGATTTTTAGTGAATTTTGTACAAGCATCGAGTCTCATGCCGTATTTAGTATACTGCTGGTATTCCATACATATCTTCTACCCTAACCCCTTAAGCGGAAATATGGACTTGTCTACTGTACACCCTTATGCAACACCCTTAGACAGTTGCATGTGTCATTTGGCGATGTCAATCACGTGTTTGGCTGTTTGGCGTGGAGAATATTTATTACCTTTTTTATTGTGATTTGTTTGTTCTGATTCATACAAGGATGGAGAACTAAAACAGTTCAACTTTTAGTCCTGTATAAAAGCGTCAGAAAAAACCACGTTTTAAGAAAGCAAATGATTTTAAACTGTTATTCTTTTGTAGAATAATTCTGTAAAAATAAAAAATGCAGAAAAAATCCAGTAAAGCGAAAACCCTGATCAAGATTCCGGCAACTTATTTGTTTACTTTCGGTGTATCATTTCCGTGAACATACTACAGAATAAATATTTGAACCATTCTGACACTGATCAGAATATTTGAATGATTTTAAAGAAAAGATAATAAATATGGTTGTTAAAAATACTTATAAAAAGGTGTAGCAGGTACGTGTAGCAGATTTTAGGAATAAACAGTGATTGTTAATTACGCTAATATATGCGACGGTTATAAATACTTATATATAGAAGACATGTGACAGTCATTACTTTAAATTCAGTGATTGTTAATAACGCTAATATATGCGACGGTTATAAATACTTATATATAGAAGACATGTGACAGTCATTACTTTAAATTCAGTGATTGTTAATAACACAAATGAATATGACGGTTATAAATATTTATACATGGAAGACATATGACAATCATTACTATCAATTCAGTGATTGTTAACACTAATAAATGTGACGGTTATAAATACTTGTGTATAAAAGACATGTGACAGTCATTACTATCAATTCAGTGATTGATAATAACTCTAATAAATGTAATGGTCACAAATATATATAGAACATAAGGCAGAAATAAATACTAATCTAAAACATTCGATATTTTTATGTAAAACTAACAAAATTGTGGGCAAAAGCTCCATAGTACTCAAGAAAATTACTGATATCAATTCAAAGCATTTATTGAGTTCTCCCAAATGTTTTTAAAATGAAAACTTAGGAATAAAATAATATTTTTAATAATTCATACCTTACCTGCTGTAGACATAGCCAAGAACTGAAATGCAAAAATATGTTTTGTAATTTTTATTTATATATTTTAATCTTACAAATTATTAAATTACATATTGTAAACAACAATAAAATATTTATCATAATCTAGTTTTTAATTGTATAAAATTTTCATCATCTTTTTTAAAAAATGATAAGTGATACAGGAAAACGTATAAAAAAAATTTGAAATGATTCAAGAACGAAATAAAGGTTTTAGGGTATTTAAATAGCGTAAGAATCTAAAGAAAAATCGATTGATAATATAGTGGAAAAAAAGTTGAGTACGCATGAAAACTTTCAGTCAATACCCCCAAACAATAATATATATTTCATGTACTTAAAGATAGATTCTGAAACTATTCATGGATATTAATTTGCACATTTAGCATCGCAATTTGAAATCACGCTTAACAAAATTAGTTATCATACTCCCAAAACATTCTTTTAAAAATGCATTCACATATTTTTCTGATATTCAGAAAAAAGTAACAGTGCTAATTAATAAAATTTAGATCAAATATATGCATTTACAAATAAATTGTTAATATCTGCATACCTATTAGTCATTCACAGCTATAGTTTCTTTTAGTACATAAAAATTCTTTCTTCGATTGAATTCGTCGATTGAACAGCAATTTTGTTATTAATTCTACTTTTCAGTTAGTTACTCAAAAAGTGCCTTGCCTTTTTTGGTTATTTATTTGATTATAAGTTTAAAATTAAGCAATAGAAGACTCCCTAAAACCATTTAAAGGCGGTTTTCTGAAATAAAATGTGTTCTATTAATCATTAATAAAATGACACACATCAATATACTTTTATGTTGCAAACTACGCTATGATGGAGCTGCAAAAAAATAGTCCCTGTCATATTTAAAACGTGAAAGTAAATTTTGATATTTTCTTTTTAAAAAAAATATGAATGCAAAGCTTGTTATGAGAATGAAAAATCTGGTAAAATTAGTGCACAGTATAGTTATGACTTTTCGTTTTTAAAAAAAAGCCATACTTTTAGTAATAAAAACAGAAATATACGGTATTTAAATCGCTAATTTGGTAATTTTTTTGCGTTCATATTGTAACGGTGCACCGGAATTTCTGGTTTTCAAAATTGTAGTTCTTATTACCACGTAAGTAAATTTAACCAAATAAAGCCAAATTTTACTACGTTTACAAAATTTTATCACACATTATAAGGCAATATTTTATTACATTTTACCACAATGATTACTAAAGTGCTTCGGTAAATATTTCTGAGTTTTTTGGCACTCCCATAGATTCAGAAAATGTTACCATTTTCAGGTAGTTTTGTCCATACTTTTTTTTTCTCAGTGCGTCTGTAATTTAATATATTTCGACAATACAATACATTCGACAATTCAACTATAAGATTTAATTTTCAAACACATTAAAAGTGAATAACAACTGAAATAACACTAAACATAAAATTATTTAAGTAGAAAGTACAATCGAATTTTTATTCTTACTCACTTAATTATATCAGAACAGGAAACAGAGCAGCGACTAGAGGAAGAATCTGTTGTTCAATTTAAAACGCTTGTTTCATAGTAACTTCCGCGACGTTATCAAGCTGAGAGAGCTTTCAGAAATCCTTGTCTCTGAAAGCAAGATATGAAGCGGTGTCCTTGAAAGAGAGTTCTCTTTTTTCTGATTGAGTGATGCTTTTCCATGTTAACGTAAATCTTATTTACGATAAGCTAAGTTTCGTCTTTTGTTACTATTAAACAAAATAATTTTTTTTAAATGTAAGCTAATTTTAACTATATAAATGCAGAATTTTTTACAGTGTTTATTAACTTGTGCATTTTTATTTTTGCATTTGTGCATTTTTATTTTAAACTCATTATATATTAAAAAAGAAGTAAAAAAAGAATGGCCGCGATAGCCAAGTTGGTAGGGCATTGGGCCCATGTGCTAAAGGTCGTGAATTCGATCCTCGTGGGTTGCAAACTCCTCGTGTAGCAAATGGTGCCTAGTGCGTGTTAAATCTGTCTGGTCACAAAGTCCTCTATGTTCCCACAAAAATCCTACCTCTATGGTACTGAATTGGAAATTGGTCGTTTTCTGGTTCAGGTCAAAAGAGCGATCTGTGGATGAATGAATTGATATAAGAATGGGTCCGCCCTATAAAGAGGCTGTAACGTGTGTCTTATTCTTGTCTGTGTCGTGTGAAGTCATATTCTTGTCCCTAGATGGCGCCACTGAAAAACAACAATTGCACACTCTGGCCTCACCAAGCAGGCATACTGGTATTGGTAAGCAGCATTAGAAACAATACCAAAAGAGAAGAAAAACATCTGGTTGATCTAGTATGCACAGAATTTTAAGAATATTTTTTGAGACCGAATACTATTGTGAAAGTTATTAAAACCCAAAAATTAGAAAACTTTCTTGCTATAAAAATCATTTATGTTTATAGTAATGGAATAAATCAACAAATCATGTTTTCGCAACAATAAAAATTGGATTTATGTCAAAAATAACTTTATTAAAATGTTTAAATATCTAAAATCAATTTCAATAAAATTGTCTAGCGCAATTCTTATGATTATAAAAAATAAAATCTGATTATTTATTTATTTATCAACTAATAATAAATATTTCATTTCAATTTAATAGATGGAAAATGTTTATTCTAAATTACGGTTAAGAATTCAAGCTCTCTGCTTAACGATATAAATATTCCATTATTTTTGTTAATATAACTTTTGGAACAAACAATTGAATTCCAAAACATTTACTCCAGTGTTACATCCCAAAACAAATTAGATGGAGAAAACTGTAGTACAAGATAATAAAATTCAAAAACGTAAACTTTTTTTCTCACTTCGTCTTTCTAAAATTATTAAATTTCATCTTTCTAATTTTTAAAATTATCGAAGAATTTTTTGACATTCGGTCCCTTTCTAATAAAAGTAAATTTCTAGGGAGATCATTTAAATATTTTTTATCATATTTTAAAAGAAAATTCTTATAGTTTTTAAATATTCGGTTAACGAGCTGATTGCTAATTGCTTTGCAAAAAATTCCAGGTCAAATTACGGTAAAAAGTACCGTGGTACCAGTATTTTGATCGTAAAATGCGTTTTTACCGTAAAGTTTTACGGAACAACAAATCTGAAATACAGTAATATTTACTATAAAATTATCGAATGATTGTAACTAAATGAATAATACTGTAAAAATTACGGTTAAAATTTCTTATGGTAATATGGATTCTATAAATGCTGCACTCGGTTACCAGTATTTCTGACCGGAATTTGATCCGGAATGCTTTTCAGTGTGAAATCAAAATTATTTTTTTCTGCTATAATTACAACAGCTGTTATTGAATTTAATTTCAGGTTTTATTTATTTATTTATTTGCTTATTTTGAATTATTTTTTTCAGAATCCGTGTAAGTAACTTACCACAGATGAGGGACATGTCGGCGTACCCTTTGAGGAGTGTTGATACTTCATGTTGATTGGTGGATCTCCGGTACAAGCGTAACTTAGTACTGCCAAAAGATTCGTTTTCTTGATATAATGTACAGAAACAAATAATTTATTTTTAAATACCAAATAATCAATAAAAAAAGAATGAAAAATTACTACGAGAAATAATAACATCCTCTACAAATTAAAGTCTATAAAAGGCATGATTGACATGATTGAACGACGTAGGTTAATAGACATTAACTATAATAATACTAGGATATTTATAATCACATTTTATGTATTTATTTATTTTTAAAATAATCACCAGTAAATTGGTATAATAAGTATTGCGAAAATATAATTATATTTTTCAAATTAGAAAATAAAACCCAAAACAAACAAAAATGTTCTACCATGAAACAAAAATGAATATTAACTTCAAAATTCTTATTAGGAAATTTTTTTTCTACCGTGCGGAAAATGAAAGATAATTCGTTTAAGGAAATTAAATTGCTAAATCAGAGAATGATAAAATGACGCAAACTTTACTTATTTAATAAATAAATCACGATTATCACGAATTGACTGAAGTTAATCAAGGCATGTTTTACTTATTTGTTTACAATAAACTTTAAAAAAAAAAAAAGAAAAAAAAACGATCATCAAACTTGTATCTGTAAAATTTATCCAGTTGTCGATAAACATTACGCTGTACATTAATAAATTAATTGCGACTAATTAAAAGTATACGTTAACTTAAGACTGTATATCTGTACATCTTTTGTACTTCACTGATGAAATTTAGTTAAAAATTAGTGTTTTGTTTCATCTTAACTTCGCTCTCTATAGTAATAATGAAAATTGCTCAAAATTTCACCATGGAGGTACATCCCCCTTTGGTTTTAAAATGTTAAATTCCTTTATAATGTATCCATTTAAAATTTGAAATTTTACACCATAATTACATTGTTTTGATCTCTCTTTGGTACTTTGGGGCCACTTGAAAAATAGAAAGAGATTTTGCAAAAACCCTCTAGTTAAAAATGCTAACGTAATGCGTATAAAGAAATCGCCGAACGAACGGTAATATTAGTATTTTACTACATGAAGAGGAATCTTTACAAACGAATCATTTTTAAAGTTAAACGATATCTCGAAAGTTCCGTCCTAAGATCTTTTTTGTTCAATTACTTGTGAGAATTATTTAGCATCGTTGAAATGTTAGTTTTGTAGAAATTATTGAGTTAAGCAAAAATTAAATACTAAAACTGATATCTTAAAGTTAAATCAGTGCTTATTCAGCACAGTAACAAAAAGAAAAAAAAAGAACGATAAAAATGTAAACAGAAAGCTGGTCTCATATATGAAATTACTGACCTGGCCAGATTACCAGATTACAAAATATATAAATTGCAATTTTTTCTATTTAGCATACTTCAACTTTTACCCTTTTTAAAAGGAAAAAAAAGAAAACTGAATTGCACATCTCTCAAAGTTTGAAGTTAAAACTCTGTTGAGACCTGCTGTATGCTAATTTCTTCTTCGAAAACTTTTTTAACAAATGAAGAAATTTTAGTCTGATGCACGTAGTTCTACGATTAAACTCAAGATTCTGAGCTAGTCTGACAGATGCACAATTGTCAACAAAAATTATTGACATTTTATTTAAGGAGGAAATTCTTCTACAAAGTTTTTTAAGTCATATGAATTCCTTTTTGGCTTCATTTGCTGCAACTATCTCAGCCTCGTTGGCTGATATTGCTACCATAGCTTGACGTTGATTTAATTAGGATATAGCATCACCGTTCGTCGACCTATCATCTTCATGTAAGCTTCAAAGTCAGTATCACAGAAGCATTCCAGAACTCCGGGTCTTTAGCATGATAATGAATTTTTGCTTGGAGCTTACAATGTATCTAAATACTCGCTTTACTTTGATAAAATCTTCTTTGGAGGGATTTTCTAATTTACGTGAAACAATGCTAATAGTGTATGCCATGTCTGGTCTAGTGCCTACCGTAAGATACATTAATGCATCAGCAGCTTCACGATATGGAAACTCTATCTTTTTATGCAGTACACGCCTTTTTCTCTTGGCTTCTCGAAGGGCTTGGCTTTCTCGAAGTAGAATGGAACGAACAGTTGCTAACGTAAACAAATTCCACATTTCAACAACCAATCAGGATTGAGATACCCATATTACGTCACTTGCAGGTATCTCATTGTTTTTATCTATCAATATGTATTAAAATCTGTCCAGTAATAGTATCTTACCTGTCTTGATGATTCAGAAACTCTAAGGTTAACATGAGAATATAAAAAGTTAAAGAAAGATGCAATGTAAAAAATTTCTGATTATGTATTATTGAGAAATGGAAATTTAATTATTGATTTCAACTATTTCTAGATGATATTTCCACTTTAAAAAGTTAAGAAAAATTTAAATTTTCAGCAATTTGCTTGTTTTTGCATTATTTAACTTTCAAATTTTTATTCGATTCGGTTTCCTACAAGCAGTTTCTTAAAATTCTTCAACCAACTTCATAGAGACTTAAAGTGTTTCTGATTTCTGGTAATATAAGTGAAATATACTTTTAAAAACAATGCCTCCGAAAAAGAAAGATAAAAAAAAGAAAAAAGAAGAGGACGAAGAAGTCGGCTACGATGTTAACACAATGACGACCGACGAATTGAAAAAATACGCCCGTATGTTAGAAAAAGGCATTGAAGAAATGAGAAAACATTGTAGTTTCTACCGAAGTTCTGGCGATAAGTTGGCACAATTCTACCAACTACGGCAGCAAGATCTTTTGGAAATGGAAAATGAACTTTTGTGTAAGGACATAGAAATGGAAGATTTACAGCTAAAAGTGCAGCAAGAAATCAATGACAAAGAACAAGGCTTAAACTATAGAGAATTTTCTAGTATACAGCATGAAAAAATGGTCAATTCTGACACAGAAACGAAAATAGCACATCTTGCTCAACGCCACCAAAAAGAGCTAAATCGTTTGAAAGAGGAGTTTATTGAGAGTGAAAAAGTTCTGGAAGTCAACAGCCGTAGGGTCCATCTTGCAAAAAGAGCAGCTATGTATAGCGCAGCTGAAAAAATACAAGATTTAGAAGAGCATCAGGAAAAGTTAATAGAGAAAAATACTGAGGCCTTTACAAAAATGCTTGAGGATACCACATTCGACTTGAAATTCAATATTGAATTAATTGAAACGGAAGCATTAGAAACTAAGAGAATCGCAGAACACAAGTTTCGTAATTCTTGTTTATCGTACAAAGAACAATTACACGAGTATTACAAAAACATAACTAAGGAGGATTTGGCTGTTATAAAAGAACTGAAACAGAAAATACACGAACTTGAAGAAAGCATTAAAAAGTCTAAATCAAAGCTAAAATATATTATCAGTGAAAACCGAGACTTAGAAACTAATTCTGAACGAAAATCTGGACGAGGTACAAAAAAATTGGATAGTGCAAAAGTCATCGGTAATGACATAGTTATATCGAAAGATTTCTATAGGCAAAGAAAAATCGAAAAGTTAAGAAAAGAGAACGAAGTTCTCGAAAAAGAAATCGATAGAGTTGAAAAGGAAACTGACAATCTTAGATGCCAATTTACAGACAGTTTGCGTAAAATTCGTGATAGTGCTGAACGAAAAGCAAAACTTCTGGAAAACAAAATTGACGTGTTGTTTGATTATACAAATTGATATTAAGTTTTCAAAAATTAGATAAAGGCAATTTTTTTTAATATTTTAAAATACCTGAATTTAACTTACAAGATGATTGTTTTCTTTATAATATGAAAAGGTAAAATTTTTGACCTAGAATGCTTTTAATTATTCTGCTTCTTAGGACAAATGCATTTTTTTGAAGTGTAATTTAACTCACAAAATGTATAGGAGCTGCTATTATATATAGAGTATTATTGTATAAAGTGTACATTTTTATAACCATTCTTAATGTATCATTAAAAATAAGAATATTAAAGATTTTAGATCAATGCATACACTGCCACTCATTAGTTATGCTCCACTCTCGTTTCCGCAATGAACTAGACGTAAAGACACCATTCCCAATAGAACACCGAAGTCAAGTATCACTAGCTGATGTCAGGTAAGCGGATGTGTGACCACTTTGATCAGCCTGCATGGGATGCGCGGTATTGGTCATCGTTGAACTATTCTGTCACAAAATACTCTATTTCTCGCGCAATTCCTCGGACTATAAAAGCAGAGGAGCCTTCTTTGCAGAGGAACAAAATTATGATGGCATGTCTGCGGATCATCTTTCAGGAATGTTTGCAAGACCGTCACAAATAACCCATTGTGCAGTTTTAGTGCTACGTAAATAAAGTACCCACTTGCTCATACTCCGCAGACTACCCAACCATGGCTAAGCATCTAACCCCATTGTTCAGGCTCTATCGTTTAACGGCCATGGCAGGAAAGTCAAGTATTTTTGATTAGATAAATTTAGAATTTGAACCACGTAATTTTGACTATGACGTAGATAGCGCATAGGTTGGTGCCCTTTTCTCTAAACTTCTAGGCCACTACCAAATTGGGGACATTCAGTCACAACAGATATAACGTGTACCTTGTCATATAGGGGAGATTTCCGTATCGTGATCTGTGGCAGAATAATCACCAAATCTTGGCAACTTCAGGGCAACGACCTGCGAGAAACTAAAAAAAAAACATCACAGAACGGGGCCAACTCGAAAGGTATAACTTGCATCCACCCTCGGGCAAATATCTACATGATTTTCTTTTTAATTTGCAAGTTTAAAATTTATTTGGCACCTTGGCTATTGTAATTGGCGCGATAGATCACGATACGGAAATATCCTCTCTATGTATATACGCCAAGCGTTTATATAGCTGTCGTGATCGAACAAGACACCCAGTTCTCCAGCAGCGAAATAGGTGAAATCTATACCGACTGCGCTAACGGAGCGTTTTCGATCATGAACCATAATCCACCCATTGTTTTCGTATTTATTCCAAGAATTGTGCCAAACAATGAATTGTGGTACGAAGATCTTTCATATTCGACCAAAGAAACCTTTTCTCATACATAATTTTGAAAACACAATAGAATTCATATTTAAGATTAAGGAATAGAATTCATATTTACGATAAGGGAAGATTTAAGAGGTATATTAATACCTCTTAAATCTTCCCTTCATCAGAGTAACTTCCTTTATAAGCAATGATTATCGTGCCCTTCCTGAGAATTTTATTGGTTATTTTGCACAGAATTTCAGAGACAATATTATTTCCATTGAGATTGATACCTCTCACACGAATGATTTCGGTTAGTAATATTTTTGTCTCTGATACCAGTGTCCAAATGATTCATCTCACTTCACATGTATTCTGAGCAATCTAAGACAGCAATCAAAATTCAAATTTAAATTTTTAATTTAGGGTAATTTGCAACCCTTTTTACATCCAATAAAAAATGAAAGAGAATATCAATTAATTTAGAGTTTCTAATAAATTTAATTGAATATAATAATAAGAAAAATGTGAAAATAATTATCGCTAATAGGGTATAAAATTAATTCGAAATTCATTTTTTTAATTATGAATTTTTCTCTGTATTATCTGTTTATGAATAAGACTAGTAGGCTCTTTATATTTGTAATATATTGTTATTTATATATTTTCGACCAGGATTATAAAATACATGAGAGGAATAGTAGGTAACCAGCATTGCCCCATTTAACAATTTCTTTTGAGGTACGACTCTTCTGGTTTGTGTAACTTTTGATTTAATGATCGGAATTTTACGTACCTTATCCAGTTAAACTTCGTAGTTTTAAATAACAAAAATCTAAAATTTAAATTAGTAATTCCTCGAAAATAAAAATTTTCAAAAGTCTCATTTTTAAGTTTTTCTTCATCAGAAACTATTTACGATTATTTTTAAATTTATCATTTAAAACTATACCTCGCTTTATAGCATTAAAATCTTCAACACTAATTAATCAGTCTTATTTCTTGGTATGTCCTTCAGGCAATGAAATTTAAAAATTTTTACTGGAAATTACTAATACTTTGTGCCCTTTGTATATTAGATTGCTTTTCTTATTATTTCCAAAAATGTTTATTCCAGCACCAAATTGATTAAAATTTATTGAAAATTAATTTGAAAATATTTAAATGTTTACAATAGGGAATTTTATTCTGTTTTTGATTATTTGTTTTGTGATTATTTTGATTTAGAAATTTTGATTCAAAACCAGCTCGGACCATTTCAATACAAAAGAAAATTTCGAATCATAAAAGTTTTCGCATTATAATAATATACCCGACATTCTTAATTCACTTTCATTTCATTTCCTCTTCTCTTTTGACTTATTTTCACGCATAGTTAATTTAATTTCATTAAAACTTTAGTTATTTTAAAAAGAGAAATCCATTTTTATTTCTGTTCAATAATTATCCGTTGCGATCCAAAATTTTCTTTTTTGACTACGAATTTCAAATTTAACAACTTGTGCTAGATAGACAACTTGTGTTAGATAACATATGCTACATACGTCAGGATGTTTTTGTCACAAAAACTGTTCACGACAAGCTCTACACGTCGGCAGAAATTTTACTTTATTACCGGCGTTGAACAGCCGATCCAGTTTTGAATTTATGACAATGTTCAACTCATAATTTTAAACCCAATCCAGAAGACAAGGAAACTTTTGAATTAAACATCTGGACAAAATAACTCGCATTTGCATTACATGGAGACGAAAACCTCCCTATGTTATCCCAATGGCAAGGGTATTCAATTGCATGATTCGTCTACTACTCGGGATATTTTATGTCAGCAATGTGGTATGTGCAAGCCGGGAGATGAATTTGTAACGACCAGACAAAACTGGGATTCGAACCTAGGCTCACCTCAATGGGAGGCGAGAACCGCAGTCCTGAGTCACCGCAAACCAGCAATCACAAAAATAAGAAAGACGTTCTTAGTTGGCATCACAGAATTATAAAATGTTGCTAATTCTATAAGACCTCAAACATTTAACACTCCGCAGAGAATGGCATTTGACTGTTTTGGTATAAGCAAAGAATTAGTAAAATGCCTTTTTTGTGAAAGAGAACCCTTAAATTGTTTCCTTTAAAAATGAAACAAAAAAAAGTAAATATATTCTGTTAATTCATTTATGGTTTTAAGTTGATTAAAAATTATATTTTGATTAGCAAAGTTTTATATTTTAACACAAGGTAGAAAAATCGTAGATATTTACTGAGTTTACAGCTAAACCTCACACCATAAGGGTATTTTTAATTTCCTTGATTTTGCAAATCAAAATATTATGAACCTATATGAGTAGAGATAAGTTCCAGTCGGTAAATAAGAACTCATAAGATCTTCATGTTGAAACATAAGAAATAACTAAACCTTGAACCTTTTATTCAACATTAACTAACTAAACTAAACTCAGTGGCGCGACAGCCCATAGAGGGCCAAGGCCTATTGTGCCCATCTCAGTTCTCTTGACCTTGGGCTCTGGGGTGCAGGAGCAAATGTTCCGGTCAGGGGGTCAGCCGAACTCGGAACCCCCAGTGTTTAGTTCCTAAGCATTCTTGGCACTCATTTATCGATCCACTGAAGGGACGAAAGGCAGAGTCAACCTCGCTCGGCCCGAGAATCAAACCCAGAACCTGTGGCACGGTAGCGCGAAGCCCTACCACTCAGCCACAGGGCGTCAACTTAACTAAGCACATAATAAATACATTCCAGCTTCATTAGTCATAGAATAACAATTATTTCAAAATTAAACAAAAATAATTTTATATTTTATTATATTCATTAAAAGAAAAAAAACAATTGTACAAAAATAAAATGCGTTATTGAATCTTAAGCAGCCAGCATAATATTGTTATCTTTATTACAATATTGAATTTAATTTCCATCAAAAATAACGTTGCCAGAGTTTGTTGTTCTTTTATCTATTCCTTCTTGTTAAAATCTATCACAGTCCTTAGCCTGTAAGAATAAAATGAAATTTATTAGTTAAAAAAGTAAAAGTATACTCTTTCAGCAAAAAGTAAAAAGCATTTTATTTAAAATTAATTACTTACATAAAAATGTAGGCGAAATTGTCTCATCATAGAATTAAAAATTTTTCTAAAATTCCAAATCAGGACAATTTCTTAACGAATTATATTTGTGATAGATTGATGTGTATATACATGAAAAATAATGAAAATAGAGAAACTTTAAGTTAGAAAGCATGGTAATAAAAAACGACCAGAATATGGTAACATTTACCGTGCTTCTGGCTCTATGGAAATGCCAAAAAGTTCAGCAATTTCAACTAAAGCACTTTGATAAACATTTTGTAAAATTAACAATAAAATGTGGTAAAATTTGGTAAATGGGGTAAAATTTGGTACTTTTATCATGATAACTTAGAGCATGACAATAAAATACTTAACTTAAGGCAACTTAAAGGTCCAACTTAAAGGCAATAGATTCGTCTATACCAAAATTATTTCCACCCTAGTCACATCAGCTGAACTTAATGCCTTGGAATCTTGTTTTATTCTAATATGTTCCCTTGTTAACGACATTAGTTCCTCACCACCTCTCCAGAGCTCGAGAAAATGCATTTTACCCCGATATGCCTCTCTCGACCACTGTGGTTTTTCTTGTTCTATTATTATCTTTATTCTCTCTCAGCTACTGTGTTATTTTCAAATTTGTTCTTCAACTTCATTTTTCCATTTTTCGATGGCTACATTAGATTTTTCAAACCACCTTTATTACTTCTAGCCCGTCCTATTATTCTAGCCCTTACTATTCTGGCCTCTCTGGCAAGTCTTGAAAAAGAGCGCCTTTTTTTGAGTGCTCGAAGCAAGTTGGCTGTTATTTTCAATTTATATACTAAATTTGAAGTGAATAAAGTTTCTAATCGATCAATTCTTAAATGCATTTTATTTAATTCCTCAGATCATAATTAATTACACACTAGATGATAAAATCGATCTTTCAAAGAAACGTCTTTATAAATATCAAAGTTATCATTTCATAAATCAAAAACTATGAACCCAACATATAAGAAAATATAAACTTCGTATACTTCTAAGGATCTACTGTAGTTGTAACTGAACTTTTATATTGCATATTTTTACTTTTTTACAATGAGTTGCTATCGTACATCAAGGTTTAAAATGATAATTTAGAGTTATTCTGTATAACAAATCCATAGTTTGAGTAATTTATTTCAAATTTGTTAAACATTAATTCTAAAGGTATACTACAATCTTAATGAAAATTGTATGTTAAAAAAGAAACATGTTTTTGTTAAAAAAGAAACATTCATAGAGAATGAGCAGTAAGCAACTTACGATTCACCGGATTTTAACATTTTGAAGCCCTCGTTGATTTTATCCAGTGTTAAACGATGCGTTATGAGCTTTTCAACTTGTATATTTCCATTCACAATTTTATCCACTAGTTGTGGAATGTCTCTCACTGCTTTGTAGGCTGAAAAGTAAATAAAAACTTTAAAGTACTGGAAATGCAGAATTTTCATTTATTCACATTGAACCATGTGAATTTACATTTATTTAAACTCAAATAATAATTAAAAAAAACAATTTTTGGAGAAATTCATTTGCTTTGACAAGACTAAATTTCTTTTTATTTAACAGCATTTCAAATTCCAACATCTTACCCGATTGTGTCTAAAAACAGTTTTAACTTCTTAATAAACATCGTTCTTTTTCTTTACAATACATTTTTAAAGCAATATAAATGCAAATAAATTTTTATGGAATAAAATTTTTCATGCAAATGCCTTTTTTAAATATTAAGAAAATTTTATTTTTTGTGGAATCTAGAACAGGTTTTTGTCAAAAAGAAGAAATCTAGATTAGTTTTATGTCAAACAAAACCGGTTCTGTCAAAACCAGTAAAAAATGCTTCTTTAAAAAAAAATTTTGAAAATAAAATAGATTTGATAATAAAAATTAATTTTAAAACATTTGTATTTTTTTATGTACCAAAACAAATAACTCAAATTGAAATCTTATACATTAATATCCAAGCCTGCTCGCTCTCTATTATAGAAATTTCTGAAAATGAATTCATGCAATCTTTCAAACCATTTTAATGGTTGCAGAATTTTTCATGACATTATGATGAGGAAACTATACATTTAAAAACGTGTTTTGAATTTAAAGGAAGGATGATTTAATGTCATTAGAGCTGAAATGAACGAAACTTCGTAAGACATAAACGATATTCAAGTTTACGAAACAAACGCACGAAACAAAATTTAATCGCTGAAAGTCTGTTATCAAGCTAAAAAAAAGAGGATAAATCATCGGGATATTTCCGGGACACGATTTTCTAATCCAGCTGCATTTAACGGCCGGATCTCCTGTAAACTTTTGTTCAGGTATCAAACTTTAAAAGAAACAAGAGATTGCATTATAATTACGACAAACTACAACCAAGAGGAAAACCTCCATAAAAGAGAGCCAGTCGTTAAGGGCCTCTGGATTGTTAGTAAATTTACTTCAGAAGCGAGACATCCTTAAGAAAGACAAACGTATAGTAGGAAAAACGTAACGCAGAGGGTGCGTTTCTTGTCTTTAAGTGACGCCATCTATGGCCATGAATGCGACTTCAGTCACACATGCGTCGCAGCTCGTTTATAGGGCGGATCCATTCATACATTCTTTCATCCATCCACAGATTATAATTTTGACCTGAACCAGTGAATGATCAATCTCCAATCCAGTACCCATAGATGTATTGATTTGTTGTGGAAGCTTGAAGGACTTTGGGACCAGACAAATTGAACGAGCACCAATCACCATTTACTACGCAGGGAGTCTTCGGTCGATTGGAGTCAAACTCACGACTCCTTGCGACCAGGCTATTCCGGCCTCATAGATTAATTGTAGATTCTCTAGTAAAAAAACTTTTGCCTGGTAAGAATCGAGATCAAAACAATCCAAAATCCGCGAAATATAATATTCTATCTAATAAATGCTCTATGCGGTACTTACATCCATAGAATGTTCCCATCAATTGCCTTCCAAAAAGAAGATCGAGAACTCCCGCTTTGACTGCTGCTCCCATATCACCCATTCCTATTATAACTGTCTTTCCCCAATGGGGATGACTCGCCTTAAATGCTTCATTCTGAAATGATATTGAAAAAATGACTCAAAATAGCTCATTAATAAAAATCCTTGGTTAGTAACTTACAAAGTATTATTAGATCGAAAGGTCTGTAAAATATTACTTAATAAAGTGTCTTCTCAGCGTTAATAATTGAATAAGTTGTTTTATCTTCAAAACTTCTAAACGATAAATATGTATTTATACCTTTTTAGGAAAATTATCCAAAGAATAATATAATGAGATGAGTAAAAACAAATCAATAAATATCAATATGAATGCATTTAATTTTCTCTAGGAAAATGCGAAAAAAATATACATATTTTTAAAACAAAATAATTCGAAAAAATTTTACAGGCATAAGTAAATAAATATGTAAAGTAGATAAAACGAAAAAGCGCATTTGTGACGAAACCTGGTAATTTTTAATAAAAAGTTTTAATCAAGCATAATAATGTATACGCAAGATGCAAGTTAATTCATATTAAGAAAATAACTTCTAATAAAAAAATTTTATCTAGAATAATATGCATATATTACACTGTATAAAACTACGAATAATACGATTAAATTACTGACCCCCAGAGTGCAGCATCCGTAAAATCCATTATACTTCGAAATCTATTAAAATCATAAAATTTTATACCGTATTACCGTACTTACAGTAAAATTTGTTTAATTACTGTGACTCAGTAAATATTACTATAACAATTATGGTATATCAGATTTTTCAGGTTCCGTGACATTATACGGTAAAAAGTACCGGCATGCAAAATGTCAGTACTTTTTACTGTAATTTTTTTTGCTGAGTAGATGTTCTTTAATCAATAGCCTTATTATATATATGTAAAAAATAAAATTGCATTCCGGAACTCAATTTATTATTTCAATGTAAAGAAACCGTTACTAAAATGGCAAAGGGGAAAATGGAATTAAAAGCAGCAGCAAAAATTTACTCAAATAAAGTGCAATATTTAAATGTAACACGTTAACAACAATTACCTTTAACCTCCTTTAGTTTCATTTGAAATTAAATACTTTTGAAGCATTAAAACACATTTAAACTGTTCGCTAATTCGATAATTATTCATTTGGTTTTGGTAATTATTTCTTTACACATTCATATTCGATTTTGTTTCTAGTGCTCAATAAAACAAACATATAATCGACAAATTTCTAAAAGTAAAGTAAATTAAACACAACAGTGTAGCATAAATTATTGTAATAATTCTCAAAACGTAATTAACTACTTAAATAGAAAAAAATTTGATTACGAATATGTAAAATAATATGCGATGAAATGTCCTTAAAAATTTAAGTAAATAAATCGATTTCTTTGGAATTTCTAATACGTTAAAATGTCACAAAATATTGTTTTAAACCATATATAGAAACTTAAAAGATAACATATATTAAAATGTACAGTTTTCGAACCGTTTAAAAATGCTTATTTATACTGGAGTCATATTTACAAATAAAGGTAGAACCGCTTTTAATAGTGTGTCGGTCGTTTACCCCAATTTCATCTAAAAGTTCCGCGCATTAGCGAAAAGGCAGGTAATAATAATAATCTATCATTCCCTAAGGAACTAAAAAGCACTTCTCATATCATCCGACATTCATATTCTTGAAGAAGAATTGTATTATCATTAAATGCACGAATTCCATTCGCCTGCAGACGATTTATTTGCTTTCCGTAAATATCAAAAGCAGCTGTAGAATATTGGCAGTTATCGATTACTGTATTTTGGAGTCCTTCAGTTAAAGTATTTATAGCGTGGCAACATAAATTTCCACTTAAATTAAGAGTTTTATTTGGAATTAGAAATTGCGTGAAAAATATAGAAGCTAATATGAATCTAAAACAAAAGAAAAATATTTTTAGAAAAGAAAAAAGAATTTTACGACTTTAAGTGTGCTTTCTTATTTGTTTTAAGGTACTTTTCTTTTAAAGTAAAGTAAATATTTTATGTATGTTTATAGGGAAACAAATTTTTTAAAGTAAATAAATGTGTGCGTAATCGTGTAAGTATCAATTATATTATCTTTTATGATTGTGTTTTATTGCTTAATTATGGATTCATATTTAAATGTATTCTCAATTTATGAAGTAAAATCCTTGTAATAGTAAATAAATGTTCAAAAATATCCTGCAAAAGCTATTGAATCAAAAAGGGGTGTAAATCTACTTCAAAAACTAATTGATGCGTAATAAAGACGTAGTTTTTATCACAGTTTAATTAAGTGAAATCTTAAAATAAGTAATTATATTTTTTATAAGAAAGAATATAAAAATTGGGATATAAAAATTGGGATATAAAAAAGGATATGGAACTCTTTAAAACAATAAATGTTTTGGTAATTAATACTTATCACAATTTGATAAAAGAAAGTTCTAATATTTAAATATTAATGTCGAAATATGAATATTCAAAAAAGTAGTAAAACTTAACAATTTCTCTATTTTTCATGGCGTATTCACAAAATTCCATAATTTGATTATTAAAAAAAATTCCTTCAATTCAATTCAATACATTCAATTAAAAAAATATATTTTGGAATTTTCCGACCTGTTTATACACTGGTGCAACTCTTGATCTGATACTATATTCTCGTAGTAATTTTGATTATTCCAATTATATGCTTTTAATATTATGCGTAATACAAAGCTGTTTTATGACTATTAAGGAATATCTTAATTATTACCATAACAGAAAGTATTCCAACAGACACGAAGCAGAAATCAACTCCTCCATTCGTCATTTTCGCTAAAGCTTCTGGAACATTAGGAACTTCCTTTGGATTTATAAAATCAGTAGCTCCCAATTCCTTGGCTAAAAATACAAAGAAAACTTTATACATGCCTTATTTCAAAATAAAATTTTTCTCTGAGTGTCAATATTTACATCTTAGTTAAAAGCAAAGCTTTATTGAAGTTTAATAATTCGTGTAACAAGTTTTTCTGTAATATATACTGCAGTATGAAAATATTGTAGATTTGTTTTTAATTTGTGCTTATTTTTTGCATAGGTTAGAATACTTAATTCAAGTACAATGTAAACTTAATTCAAGTACCCCATAATTAACTTTAAAATGAAAAAAATGAGCTTGAAATAGTATTCATTTATAATTGTAAAAAATAGTTTTCATTAACTATCGTAAAAATAGTTTTCATTGGCTATTTTACGATAATAATTTAGACAACAAGATATGAACTGCAGCAAAAGTAATAATTAAAAATTCTTACAACTCCAGCTGAAAGAAGGACGATCATGAGTTCGATCATTGAGTTAACATTAACACTTATGTCACTTACTATTGGGAACAAGGAATTATAAACAGGAAACTATCAACAAGTACAGAACTGGTTATCTACTACAAAACCTCCACGCATGTGTTAAAAAGTTCATTTAAGCACTTGCAAAACTTTACCATCATTTGAACTGATCTTACAATAACCAATGAATTGTTTTCACGTTTATATCAATAGACCACGGAATTTTGCAACTTCCTAATGATCACATAATTTCTGAAAGTGTTAGGAACATTTGTTATCATCTTTCGAAATTACCGCTTTTGCGATCAAGAGTCTTTAAAAATTAGTTTAATATCTTAAAAAGGGAATGAGCGATGTTGCATTTAAATTTCCTGGCGATGTGGACCTTAAGTTGCTTTATGTTTATTTAACATGTATAAAGCAAATTCAAAGATTTGAGAAGATAAATAACATAAAACATTGCTAAGAGCTTTAATTTCCAAGAAATATGTACTTGAAATTTACACGTTCCTGTTAGATAGCATAAGAACTTTTTTCACATTTATGGCCCTCCCACGATTTTAATTGTTCAGCAATTCCTTTTTTTTTTCTTTTTTACAACTTAATGAACTATTTTTACCAAATAATGCTTTCATTCTTAACTGCGGGAATTTCGCAACACATTGCAATTTTTTTCTTCTGAGAAATAATGTGTTATCCTATAAAGTATCGAAAAACATATATTTTTGATTCGCTTCACCAAAATAAAATAACTAATTTAGTTTGAACTTATTTCTTTTTCCCACGTTCATCTTCACTTTAAAAAAATTACTTCTGATTTTTATAAAAGTATCTCGTGTGCCATTATTAAAATAAAAGCTAACTTCATTTGTTTCCAAGTTCAGATGCCATTTTGACAAACTGTACTCTTCTCCTTTTTGGCGAAGAATAAAATCTCCAAAAATAGCAATGGTATGATATCAGTATTAGAAGAAGAAAACGAAATGATCGGAACTAGCTCTGCAGAATTTTTATTTAAAAACTGAAAAGCAAAATTAACTACCTTAGGGAATTATAAAATCACCTAATTCGTATTTCTTGGGATTAAGATCAATTCCGATAATTTTAGAAGCTCCAGCATCTCTGCAGCCCATGACAACACACATGCCAACTCCTCCGAGACCCCATATTGCACAGGAAGATCCAGGCGTCACCTTGCCAGCGTTTATGGCAGCTCCATAACCAGTCGGCAGGCAGCAACCCACCAGGCATAAAGAGGACAGGTTTGCCTTAGGGTTAACCTATTTAAGAAGCTAATGTTAAAGCTCATCAAACTAGATTTTTTAAAAATATTTTTCTGAAAATTTTGGTTTGAAAACTATTGAAAAAATTTCCAAACAATAGCATTTTTTAAGTTATGCATGACACCATGACATTTTGTTCATCAACACAAATTAGGAAATATCTTTCCATTAAGATGGTTTTAGTATTTATTAATTTTGCAACAATAGTATCAATATGGTTTTGTTACTTAATTACCACTACAACTATTCAATTCCCATTCACTAGTATATAAGACATGTTAACTCGATTCTATCAGGAAGTACCTTCAGATAAATGAAGGTTGATATTGTCGGTGGCGTGCATCCACATTGGCGACCCGGGCGTGATCTGAACTACCTCGACTAGTACATCTACTTTGCTTTGAACACTGCTTTTAATGGATTGTCAGTAGTGAACAGTTGACTTGCTATTTGTGACTGCAACATTGTGTTGCTATTCAGTTTCGATCACACAACTTGACTGCTAGCACGCGAAAAATGACACCCACAACCGTGATCTTAATATAGCTCTCACGACCAGCACTTAAAAGCCGGTGACCTTAATACAGCTCTTACAGTCTCTCGTAAAACAGCAATTAATCAACTAGTGGTATCCATTCATAGAAATCTATAACAGATAAAATTCTGGTGGAAGAGTAATGTAGCGTAACTACAACTGTTCAATTCCTATTCACTAGTATATAAGACATGCTGACTTGATTCTATATGAAGGTACCTTTCGATAGATGACGGTTGACATTGTCAATAGCCTGTGCCAATATTGTCAACGGCCAATTTAAATTTAATTAGCAGTACTCGGATGTTAGTAAATGCGAAACTATTTTATTTTATTTTAAAACCGTCGTTGAACAGCCTATCCAATATTTGAGTTTATGACTGCTAATGTTCAGCTCCGTAGACTTGTAATTTTAGACCAACACTAGTAGACAAGAGAACTTCTGAATCAATGATTGGGAGAAATTTGCCTTCTCGAAGACTTTTTGATTGAACTAACCCTCATCTGCATTACATGGAGAGGAAAACCACGAAAACTTCTCAAGGTTAGCTTGACGGCAAGATGACTCTAGCCCATGATTCATCTACCACTAAAAATATTTTACGTTAGCACTGTGGCCGGTGCGATAATTTGTTTTACATGGGGAGAAAATCCACGAAAACGACTCCCAGTAAATCTGAGGGACAAAGGAACTTTAACCTATGATCCGTCTATTACTGAGGATATTTTACGTCAGCACTGTAGTCGGTGTGAGCCGGGTGCAAACAACCATCGCTGGAATTCTAACCCGAATCACCTAATTGGGAGGCGAACGCTCTATGAATCTATTCAATAGGTTTTATCCTATTGAACATATTCGAATAAAACTTCGGATATATGTAGCGTAGATCACGTGATATTAGTTTCTGTCTAAAAGAAATAGTTGAAAACCTTGCTTCTAGATATTGCTGTTCTTGAAAAAAAAAACATGCCTATATATGTTGATAGTACCATGGCACATTTTTAGCATATTTTTTACCTACAAAATGTGATTATAAGTATGTAAATAATTAAAATATTCCACTGTTCTTTTAGTTTTGTACTCTTATCTCTCTTTTTACTTCGTTAGAGTACCACCTACTGGTAAAATTTCACTTTTAATTTTCTGACTGAAACCTCGGCATGTTTCAGCCAGGTCCATCCTGTAGAACAAAGATACGAGTCTTTAAAATTTCAGATAAATTTTAACTATTCTATATTTAACTAGATTTTGATTTTTAATTAAATTCCATTATATACAACTATGACGCCCGGTGGCTGAGCGGTAGTGCTTCGCGCTGTCGTGCCACAGGTCCCTGGTTCGATCCTTGAGCCGGGCAAGGTTGACTCAGCCTTTCATCCCTTCAGTGGGTCAATAAAATGAGTACCAAGCATGCTTGGGAGCTAAACACTGGGGTTTACGCGTTGGGCTGACCACCCAACCGGATCATCTGCCCTTGCACCTTAGAGCCCAAAGGTCAAGAAAATTGAGATGGGCACAGTAGGCCTTGACTCTCTGTGGGCTGTCGTGCCACTGAGTTTATATCCTACTATAAGAACTATTGCACTTATGTAATTAAATGGTTAAATTTTTGTTAGGTACTGTTTATATAAGCTTTTAAAAAGCAAAGAAATACTGACGGCAATAATTCACAAAAGTTATTAAGAAAAAATAAGGCATACGACAAAAAAAGTATTTCACTTTTCCCACAAATGAAAGGGAATTATTTTTCATGGAAACTCGTAGCTAAATACATCACTTCGAATGGAGAAAAAATCGTAAATTATCAATGGATGTAAAGTATTATGTAACACTACGCATTTTTGCACAAAGCTGAAATTTGTAGTTATAAGGAATTTACTTTTGCCACATTAAATTGTGAAACTACAGTATATTCAGAAAATGTGCTGATTGAAAACATTTGAGTCAAAGATTTTCCTTTGCATGTAATACGAGATGTGCCATCCATCTGCAAATTATTCCTCTGTAACAAAAAAGTGAATGCTTTTTAAAATAATTGGTACCAGTATAAAAACATATTGAATTTTTTGATGAAAAACATATAAATTTGTGAATTAGATTCTTCTAGGATATTTTTCATTAGTGAAGAAGCTAAAATGCAATATAATTGTATATAATGTGTATACCAATCAATTTTCTCCAGTATTTGTTCTTGGAGTAGTATTTGTTCTTGTTGAGGGACAGTAAAAAACCCTTTCCACAGTATCTATAATAAATCCACCCTGTATTGATGCAGTTTTAATAGTTAACAAATGTACTAATATAATAGATTATATCTAAATTAATACCTTTTGTACCTTTTGAAGATTCATCGATGTACACAAAAGTTGTAGTACTTAGTACCAAAATTAATTAAGCATCATTGACGTCAAAAATTGTCAAGCAATTTTTTTTTCTTTCTTCTTTAACGAGTTAGTACCGTTAATTCGTTCATTTTACTTTTTAGTACATAGATTATTTTACTTTTGGGTAATTTTTGTTAGCTCGGAGCAAATAAATTTAAATATTTTTTTTTCACTTTTTTATTATTCTATTTTTTATACTTTTTATTATTTTATTTAATCTTTTGCAGATATCAATTTTGTTCTGCAATTAAAAAAATAATAGAATAAAAAATAATTTTAAAAAAAAGGTATATTCCTGAATTTGCATTTAAAACGTGCATACTGATGCACAAAAAGACATGAAAGTCTATTTTTTAATATTTAATTGCATAAATTCACTTTTTAAAAGAGAAGAAATAGTTTTCAATTCATATGATAAATTACTCTCTAAAATAAAAATGTAAAAGTGTAATTTCATTTACCGGTTGTTTCATGCACATGTTGCAATTTGGATTCTTGCAAAAATCACATTCCTCACAATAAGATTCAAAAGCCAACACAACTAGATCCCCTGAAAATAAAGTAAAGCAATTTTTTCCATTCCATCTATAAGCAAGAAGCAACATATGGAAGGATAATTTTATGCGATTGATTGATATATAAACCACGATTTTTCAACCTTAATGATTATCAGATATTTTTCAACCAACCATATATTTTCAATTGGACATGTTTTTCTCGATTGTAATCTGAACGTCTCATTGTCTAAGCATTTTTGAATAAAAAGTAAATTTCAGGATAAAAACAAGATACTTTTTCACAGTATAGATTCATCATGTCTTTTCGAAGTTTCTTTAGTTTTCTAAATAGTTGTTAAAAAGCATAAACAAATAATGAATAAGGGCATTCCACACCGAATTTTTCAAAATTTCTTTTCTCTTTACTCACAATATAGTCCACTAGCAACACTAAAAGGAAACGTTTATTTCATTTGAAGAATTGATACTCAGCAACTTTTGGATTAGTGTCTCTGTCTATGTTCCGTTTTTAATTTATTTATTTCTATGATGTAATCAAACTATAGGCAATCTTAATTGACAATTTTATCGAAAAACAACCATGCAGTATCTTTCAAATGCGTATGAGATCTTCGATTAAATTAATAAGAGGAATGATGTTTATCAAGCATATAAATATGCATATTATTCCTTGTAGAAAAAAAATTAAAAATAAGAAAACAGGGATATCTTAAAATATTTAATCAAATCCTAATTTAGCTTACGTTCTAAGATAAAACGTGCTTCGTGCATCACTACATCCTTAAAAAAGAAACATTCTAACAGTTTATAGAATTGAAATAAAAAAAAACACCCAAACAGTTATTATTGGATCTAAACAACCATAAATTTGAAATGAAAAATTACAGACGAGCAATATAATGATGGTCTAACTCTAACCGGTAGTTAAGCTCATTATCTTAGAAAGGCGCTGCATACGTGGTCATAAGGTCATATAAGGTCATCGTGATGCATCGCTTTGTCGCAAGCTTTAGAACTACAATGAAAAATCTGTGCATGAAAAGTAATGCAACATAACATAGTACAGATTTTCAGATTGCATGTATAAATTAAATCTTTAATTACGTCTAGGAGTACATAAAGTAGAGATGGGAAAATCTATTAAGATGATTCGCATCTTAGAAATCCTCCGAAAATCTGAGCGAGTATACTTAATTGCAGGGGTTGGCTATGTTCTAAATCTTAAAATTGCTTAAACAATTATGATGAATTTGGTTGGCTACAAAATTTTTAGTCGTTTGATGCAAAATTTCGTGCAAAAGTTAATTTCATCGTTCTTTATCGAATTCAATTGGGTGGCCAAAACAAGGCGCGTCTTTCAGATACCAATTTCGATTTTTAAGCTTGGCATACCAATCATGATCTGTTCTTACAGCAATGGCACCCTCTCCATACACAGTACAAATGTCACGAGCATCTTTTTCGGCCTTTGAACTTTGATTTAAAATAAAAAGAAGCAGGTGTCAAAAATGCCCATTTTTCTAGACTTGATATTCCATTTTGTGATCTGAATATTAACATATACTATCTCGAAAATAAAAACAAAGCATGGGATTCCGGTTGAACAAAACATACCTTTTTTTCAAATAATCTGAAGCATTATTTAAAAAAAAGGCGAAAACTTAATTTTTGTTTAATTATAATATCAAGATATCAAATACTTCATAAGGTAGTAATATCAATAAATGCCGAATCATCGATATCATTGTTTAAAAGTTTTTTTTATGTTCCCCAAACGGATAAATCCATCTATAATTAAGAACCATTTTAGGATTTGAAATCGTTGTTTGAATCTTAATTCAATCACTATGGTAATTTCCTTATGATTTTGCCTTAAGAAATTATCCTCAAAAAGTGCTAAATAACAATTTTCAGCAATCATTCTACCCGATTTCAAAAATTTTTACATTAAATTAAATTTGCCAAATGGACTCATTAGTTTTAGCAGAGACTTTAATTAGCTTTGACCTAAATAAATTATACATCAATCAATCAATATTTTGTGTGTGTGCGCGCGCATTGTGCAATGATTCTCCTAATAAAAAGAATGCGTTAACCTTGGAAAAATTTTACCTTCTTTACATCTAGTGACACCTTCGCCAATACTTTCAATTATTCCTGCACCTTCATGTCCCAAAACTGCAGGAAAAACAAAATTATCCATCATTCCATCTTGAAAATGGACATCAGAATGGCAAATTCCTGACGATACAATCTACAAAAATAAGTAGAGAAATCCCTGTTAATATTGAAGGATTCAAACAAATTCTGATTCAAAAAAAGTGCTGATTTCGAGGGATCCTGTTAACATTGTAAAAAAACTGTTATTTAAAATTCCTATTTTGTTTGTTTTTTTCGTTGCTGACAAAACCATATCCTGATAAATGATTCCAAACGATTATTTCGTCATGCTATGGAAATCACTTATTATTTTGATTTGTTTTAGAAGATTAATTTACTTGAAATCCTTTTGCGTAGTGCAACTTTTCGATTAACTCAGTTCATTAAGAAAAACAACGTAAAATAAAAAGAATAAGTTAATGCAAAAGAATAAGTGAACTCAGTCACTGCATGAATTCGAATAGATTGAGAAACGTACTCGCGTCTGCACTTCACTGTGTTAAAAAAAATCTTTTCCTAGAACTTGATACTTTAAGTACTGTTTTGTCAACTGTGATTGTATTCTGAGTTACCCATGTATAATTGTTTCTTTTTATTTAATTTTCTACCCTTAGTGAAGAGGCAACATCAATAATCTCTTCTGATTAATATTGTTTACATTCATTGTAATGTTTGTTTGTATTTAGTTCAGTTGTAAGTAACGCTGCTTTCTGGATTTCATATTTAACGTTCTCCCCATTTGTTAAAACTCTAATTTGAAACTTTTTGAATATGTTTGCTTATGTGATTATTTTGCGCGCACTTCGAGTTATCGGTATGTCTCCGGATGCCCCTTGGGGGGGGTGAAGCTAGTTATTAATAGTCGTAAGCCTAAAAATTGGATCGGTTGTTCTACGACGGCAATAGAATAAAGTTAAAAAAAGTACTGAGATAGTCAATAAAAAAAATTTTTTTTTTCAATTTTATTAACTCATATCAATCAGCTTATTTTTTTCTTGTAGAGTTTTGCAAACTTACAATTTCGTCTACGTTTCTCTGCTCATTTATCTCTTTATATTTCTAGTAAAAAAGCTTTTTAGGAAAATCCTTGAAAAATCTAGCTTCTTCAGTAGTAGCAACTCCTCCTAATGAGAAGGCTTCTAGACGGATCAATTCAGTAATCCAGACGTAACGAATGTAAAATGCTCATTTCGGGGGAAATAAGAATGTCATAATCTCCGAACAACTAAACTGCGCAGTAGGGGAAAATAAGAATATAGCAGCGTTCGCACTACTAAAGGATCGATTTCTTGTTTATGGTAACCCCTGTAAAAGCTTCATATCTTGTAGCAGGTGTTGGTAGGACCTCCTCTAAATGCAATGCTGTTGTTGTTGACGTATACCATTAAGGAAGTTGTTCTTGTGTTCTAGTGGCGCCATCTATGGCACGGAATTCGACTTCTGTCACACCCATACTTCACACCCGTTTATAGGGCGGACCCATTCATTTATTCACAGATCGTAATTTTGACCTGAATCAGAGAACGATCAATCTCCAATTCAGTACCCCCAGAGGTATTGATATGTTATGGGAACATGGAGGACTTTGACACTCGACAGATTTAATGCGCATCAGTCACCAGAGTCTTGGGATGGCAGGGATCGAACCCACGACCTCTTGGACATGGGCCCAGTGCCCTACCAACCAGGCTATTTCGGCCTTCCAAATGCAATGTACTAAATATTAACAATCTAATTTCTTAATATACCCTTTTGATGTCAAGAAATACAATGAATATACCTAACATGTCAATCTTTAAACATCTTTATCTAATGAGAACAAAATGTTTATATACTCACCTTAATTCTCACTTCACCTTTTTTAGGGACAGCAACTTCTACATTCTCGAGTGAATAAGGTTGGCTCTTTTCCCATAGAACTGCTGCCCGGCATATAATTGGCTTGGGAAAAAAAATCAAAAATATTTATTAAATTAATTAAATTGAAAATTTATCAACTATTTATGTTAAACTAACATTATATTTAAAAATTTTGCGAATGTAATTAAATACAGAAAGGTTAACTCTGATTTGAAGAGATAAGTGTAACCTTGAAAGTAAAGCTTAGAAAATAAATCATTCTTTATGATCTTGACTAAAGATTTGTTAACAGCTAATTCAATTAACAGTTTTAAAGAGTTTTCTAATGGAGCCTTAAGTGTTTATCACTTATGCTACAACATTTAAACAGCTTCCAGTAAAGTAAAAATTACATATCTTCTTCAGACTTTTTCAATGCAACATTGTGAAAAGCGTGTTTTAAAAAAAACATGTATTGAGAAATTTAGAATATAATAGTAGAGAACATATGGACATACTTGAATGACTTATAAATGGTCCACGTATCCCAAAGATAACTCACAATGTAGAAAACAAAATACAATGTATAGTTTTCTGCATTTTGTTTAGATACTTTAGAAATTCTAAGTTTTAAATTTAGTTTTAAAGAATTCCGATAGATGGCATAGCTAAATGAATAAAGCTTAAAAGAGCAGTGTATTCAGGCATGAAATGATACTTTTTTGCTAATAATTTGCTGTTTTTATAACTGCTATGAGTTTGAAACTGTTACTCATGACTATTAGGTCAAGTTTAGCCTATCTAAAGCCAGCGATTTCTACGCTTATTTTGAAAATGGCGCAAAACGTCAATATAAAGAAAAGCCACAGTTTAATGAAAATGAAAATCGTTTGTGATTTAATTCTTTAATATTTAAAAACTTACTCCAATTCTGAATTCCCGGGGTTTATAAAAATTTTCAAAAACTGAGAATATGGCAGTGATTTTGATAATTTTCATGTAGGTACAAAGAAGCACCAAATTGTTGATTTTACAAAAAAGTTTAATTACTTTTAAAATGTTTAAGTTATTTGCCTGTTCTAAAGCCCAGATAATTCTTTATGGCAAGATTATATATATATAGTATGAAATTATCTCATTGCTTCAAGTGTAAGGCACTAAAACTATAGCTTTTTTTTATTTTCCTTGGTAACCGAGTTTCGAAAAACAGCGTTGAAGAAACAAGGGGGGCAGTCGGAGGATCACTCTTGAAAATATTTCAAATTTTACAGTCTGACATGGAGCAGAATGTCCTGTTTTCACATTCATCTACCATCTGTCGACTAATTTTGTATTTAATTTTTAATTTCAGAAGAATAAATTCTATGATTTTCCATTCAGACTGCAGTCAACCTCCCATTTTTACCTACTTTTTTTAATTGAATTTTTAAATCGTCAGTCATATTTGGAGCACTGGGTAAAAACTGAGAATTGTACTTCTAAAAGTTAGAATGTGTAAAATATAAAACTTTTAGCTTGCGAAATTTAATAATAAATGTTTCGAAATGGAAACTAAAAGAAAGCAACTACTGGAATCAGAACTATACGCGTCATACATATATAAAGAATCTTAACAATCTACTTCAATCCTATGTCTCAAATTTATTTTCGCAAGCCATACATTTTTAACTCTATCGCCTTTGAACGAGTTTCTTAGAGAGATGGCGTTCAATTATAATAAAAAGATCAAAAGAACTTTTTCCACGCTATTGTTTAATCAGTGACTTAAGAAGTGCCACGAGGAACATTAAAAATCAATCCTAGTGGCACATGTTCCAGACTGCCGGCCAAACTTTTTGACCGCACGAAACAAGTGTACTTCAAACGAGTTCAGTCACACCAAGAAGTCGTTATTCGTGTTACACTATAAACACGCAAAGACAAAACCTCGTGACATTAATTTCAAATAACGTACAAAAGAAACACTGTAAAATACATAACTATATGAATTTCACAGTTAAAATAGTTTAAACATTTTAAAGCTTGACATAGGGCCAATTTGCTGTACTTTGCTATATTGAATTAAATTGCCTTGTTTTCTGGCGTTTCTTAACCCTTAATGGACCATTGACAGTTTTCCTTATTCGATCCAATACCGCGCGTATGATTAGCTAAAACCATTTTTTATTACACTTATTTTCATCATATTTGCAATTTATTTAATAATTATTTATGTAATTATTATTTATGTAATTATTATTTATGTAATTATTATTTTTATAATTATGATTAATATTATGATAAACTATTTTAAGTATACCTAGAGGGAAGTAAACTTGAAACTTCCGGATTGTTATGGATTAAACTTGATTACAAGATAGCATAGTTCTACAAAGATTGAAATATGGTTTAAAACTTAACATTTTGTAACTCAACATTTTGTTACTTAACATTTTGTTACTTAACATTTTGTTACTTAAATTTCTGTTACAATTTAAGAATTTCTGTTACTAATTAAGAATTTCTGTTACTAATTAAGAATTTCTGTTACAAATTAAGAATTTCTGTTACAAATTAAGAATTTCTTTTAAAATATATAGTTCAATATAATATATCGATACACTGATCAATATTCAAAGAAGTTGAGCGTATAAAAAGCGCGTAATAATGTAAATGCTTTAAGTAAAATATAATTTCTGAAAATAATTAAACTTATGTGAAAATTTTAAATCGCTTTAATCCATAGTATTTTTCAAATATTAGTACAGTGACAAGTTGAACTACATTATCTTAATAAATTTATCGTTTTTTAATTTGATTGCATGATATTACTGATCACTTAAAAACAAAAATATTATTTAATTCTGCACTTTATAATGGTTGCAGCAATGTTGAATGATATCATCATTTAAAACATTGACGCTGCACATTCTTGTTGTTTGCTAGAACAGAGAGAGAGATTCAAAGGATACACGTGTTAAATTTGGAAAGCCAGATAAAAAATTTTACATTAAAATAAATTTAGTAAAAAATATATGGTTCTACTTAAAGCTAGAACAACACAACCATACTTTGAAGTTGATTCAGATAGATTTGAAACCGTACGTAACTTCTGCTATCTGGGTTCTGTAATTAGTTTTGGTAACAATATAGAAATAGACCTTAAAGTTTCTGACTGGTTTTCTAAGAACTGGTTTTTTAAAAAAGACACAATTAAAATGTTAATTTATAAGTAGGAATCTAAGCAGGTAAGCAGGAGTCCTACAGTTATAAATTTAAAATGAAGTTTAAAATTTATAAAATATTTTTCAAAATAAGAGCAAATTCGCTCTTACAAACTATATATTTCTTATGTTACGCTAACAGCTCTACAAAGACCTATTATTCCTAAATTTATAAAAAAAAATTTCTAGATCAATAATGTAATTTGAACTGAAACCTTAAAGAAATTTAAAAGAAAAAACAATACAGTATACCTAATTACATTGTTTAATTTCGTATTTTTAAAGAAAAATTCTAAATATTCTTACTTTTGTTCAATAAAAATAACAAAATTCAAATTTAGACAAAACAACAAACTTAACATAAAATCAACATTCAAAATTTCAAAGAATTACATAATAAACTTTTTTTGTTATGCGTGTTAGTGTGCGAAAAGGAATTTTATCAAAATCAAAATTCATTTAAAAACGTATTTTAAATACATGAAAATTCTGAAATGTTAGAAAATTCTGACCACAAAAAGAATTTAAAAGTCAAAAATTAATTTGTGAAAATTAATTTCATTTGTCCTTATTCACTTAAATAAGAGTCCAAATATTAAAAGCAAATCAGAAAAAAATTAGTTTCATTTTCGTCTGTCAACATAAGAAAAAGCAACCCTAACATCATTTCTAAAAATCGGTGATAAAAATTTTAATGGGTTTTAAAAAGCTAATAAACTGAAGTTGAAATATGAGTAATTAAAAAAATAAAAATTTTCGTTAAAATCGTAGACTTCCTTCCAGTCGGCTATCTTAAAAAGCAAATACTGTCAACAATCAGATGTTTAAATAGCATTAAATTCTAGCGTAGATCATTATACATAAAAATATACACAAAACTACAGTACTATTTGCATCCGAAATATGACTCTATAAAAGAAGGAAAAGGCTGATATTGCCATCTATTAAAAAAAGACTTTGCGAAGCAATATTTGACTTAATTAAAAAGAGTACTTTTTACCAAAAAGAAAAATACATAATTGCGAAATTACAAGGATACTGATAAAATAAAATTTCTAAATTCAAGCAGAAAGATTTCAAGGCAGAGCTGCATTTATCAATTTGACATGTACGATTTTCGAACTTAAACAAATTAAAAATTTTAATAATTTTATAAAATTAATAAGAGTACAAAATTGATTTTTCAGCTTACTTTTCCAGCTGTTGCCATTATGTGAATCTGGAAGAAAATCTTATTTAAGATAGAAAAATATATATGCAAACAATCGTGAAAGAGAAGAACAAAAACATTTGAACATGAAAAAAATACTATTAGCAGCTTACCTATAACCGCAAAAGATGCAAATATCCGTTGTATTAAAATGTTACTCTGTTAAATGTAAATTATTCTGCCTCTGTTTAACTATAGAATCACGCGTTTAAAGAGGAAGTTTAAAGCAATTTAAAATACAAGGTTAAAAATGAATGTAAAGGAAAATAAAAATGTTGCGCTAGACACATATATTATCTTGATTACCTTGAAATTCAGTTTCGTTTTTTTCTTATTTCTATACTAAAGTGAAAACATGACTCATGTCATTTTCATATGATAACAGTGTTTATATATTTATTGATGCTTTGTTATCCTTTAATTAATTGAAAAGTGGGGGATTGGAGTTTTTATATGCAAACGTGATTCCTTGCAATAATCAAATTTAAGTTTTGTGACCAAAACGTTAGAAAAACTACAGAAAGTAATTGAAATTAAACAAGTAAGGAAAAATTGTAAAGCATAGTTATTTTAATTTCAAAATTTTATAACTTATCTACAGATACATAATATACATAAATGATTGCAATCAATTTGTATTAATACTAATAATGGGAAAAAGTAATCGAAATTGTTAATGAATGGAATTTTAATAACTAAACACTAAGGTTTTATTAACATGAAACTTTTTTAAAACTTATAGAATAAATTATTCAATGTCAGAATACACATATTAGAATCATGTGTGTATTTTCATTAAGATAAAAAATTTAAATAATTTAACAATTTTTAAAAAAAATCCATTATCGTAGTTTCGGACATGCTTGTTGTATAATAATATTATGTCCTAGGCACTTAATTGCAAGTAAACTACTTAAATTATGCATAAAATACATCATAAATTAACTGCAAAAGGAAAAAATGAAAGTAAAAACAAATTTTACATTTTTATGATTTGAGAAACATGAGAAAATAGGGAATTGATTTATTTATCTTTATAAAAGTAAACATTCTTTAGAATTTTTTTCGATGATCAAGGCAGCAACGCTTGATAAAGGCATCAAAAGCATCAAGCTTGTTTTGCAATAAAAACAACATTTTTGCGCATACACTATATTCTATTTTTTACTTTAATTATGCATCTCATATAGACTATAAAATTCGATTAGTTTTAAAAGAAAAAATAAGAAAGAACCAAGTCATTCCAATGCTTTGATTTCGTTATTTTAACGGTTTGCAATTTTATTCTTCAAAAAAGCATTAACACAGCTTAACAGAATAAGAATAAATAGCTAGGAACTTTAAGTCATAATAGTAGCATGTATGATAAAAGTGCGCCCCAAATTCAAATCTCAAGTAGTTCCAAAATTTAATTTTATTCATTGTCATACCATTTTTTTATAATTTTACTGACTAGAGCTTTATCAAAAATTATTCAAATTGCATTTTCAAAATATCTCTTATATTATATCTCCTCTTTTATTATAAAAAAAATTAACCTGAATGCAAAATCAAAATTCATTGCTTTCAGTAGTATTGTTTAAAGTTTTGATAAAAGTTTACGTTAACGAGTATAATTGTCCTTTATTTCTTCTTATCGAATCACGTTATTAGTTCTCCAAAAGGTTTTTTTTTTAAGGCAAAGATGATTTTCTTTCAAATCCTGGAAATCATTTATTTTGTTATAACTATAACACGTTCACAAAATGTTCATACATAAAACTACAAAGAAATATTAACTTTACAAAACTAATGATGACTAAGAAGTAATTAAGGCAGTTTATGAGTGGATAAGCCAGGCACAGGTTCTCTTAGTCTACAATGAAATCAATATATTAAGATTTTATATAGCACAGATATTAAAAGTTTATATTTTATACATCCTTCTCTTGTATAAAATCTTTCAAGTATTAAAAAATCATTTTTATTGATCAAATATTCTATATTTTCGTAACCCATTTGAATCTAAAGCCCTTTTAACGCGTTGACTGTCGCGTCACCCATATTCGGATGACAGCAAAGTTTCTGATCGGGCCGCCACAACCGTATTGGGGTGACGCTTATTTGACTACTTGCGAAAAATATTCGTGTGTATTTGAAAAGATATTTCACAGGAAGTAACAAAACTATTGAATTGTTATAAGAGCATTACTAAAATGATTTATTAAGAAAATTATTGTGAGCCTCATGAAATCTTTCTTGTTCACTGCTATTTGACTCACTAAGAAATAAGTTTTCCATTTTTCTTTTCGAAATTTCAACTTATTAGGGTAAATATTTCAAGTTATACTCCTCTTTACTCGGCAAAGGTTCAAACTGATTGTGTAAAGTGGCGAGATCAGAAACTGATGCGAAGCAACGGACACAAATAAACAGACATGATACCATGGAAACAAACGGAGCGATATATTATTCCAATGACCACCGGAGACTCTTATTATTAAAATATCGGTGGGGGTACTCAGCAAAATACGCTTCGTACAGCGGTATTCGTGGCCTGAAGGAGATTTCACTGTAAGCGCGTTTTTTCGAAAAAGAAACAAGTGCAACACAAGTGTTTCGCTATGGTTCGCAACACAAGTGTTTCGCAGAAATAAAGTGGTTCTGTTTACTATAATATAAATATTTATCTTTAAATCTGTTTCCAATGTTTGCACAATGCTTTTTGAAACTAAAGTGGTAGATAGCAGAAACCACTTGGATTAACAAATTGTACACACGTCTTTCATTCATCCGTTTTTTTCATATATATTCCACTTTTTATGGCAAAACATTAGTGGGTTGATAAAAGTGCTTTGAGGTTAAGAAAACAATTTGCCTCAAAATTATTCACTTCGCTTTTCAGTGCATGAAAAAGGATAAAAAATAACTACAAAATTGGCCTAGACTTAAAGCATTAATTGAAGTAAAATTACATTCAACTTGTTTGCTCACTGCATGATTTTTGTAGAAACAACTCAATATGTGGTTGGCTAAAATGCTCACTTTGTTTACCCGATGCAAACATCATATTACTTTATAATATACAGTCAAAAATTGTTTCAAAACACTTTTGGGTGTTCTATGCCCTCAACTAGGAAGAATCGCAATAAAAATTAAACTCGAGTGTTTATCATGTTAATACCTCCAACTAATAATAATAATAATAATATATATATATGTATAAACAATTCCACATTTCATTCTAATGAATGAAGAAAACATGGGGTGGTTTTTAAGTTACCCCTCAATATGAGGTAACTCAAGCCAGCAGTAATGAATTCAGTATTTTGCTCATGTTAATTACAGAAAAATGATTGAAAGGTTAAAATAAATGCGCATATACTGATGAAATTATTGAGTAATAAATACAAAGATATAAATAATACTATTTTTTACATTTTCAATTCATGAAATTTAGATATTAAGTTAGAGGAGAAAAAATCAAGCACCTCGAAATATTTATCTCCCTAATTAATGCCAATCATAATAGTTTAAACAGCAATTAAAAACTGTTTCGACAGTAAAGAATTAAAAAAATTAAATATTATTTCTAAAAATAGAATTATTTACTGTTATGTATTTTATTTATAACAATATTATGGACTTCCAAAAGTAATCCTATAATATATTACAATTAACTCGGAGTTCTCTGGTCTGAAATATTTACTAGAACAATTAGGAAAATAAAGTTTTTAAAAATTAAACGTACTAATAATCTCATATAATGAAACTGCACAAAAATCTTAATATGAATTTTTCTCGATAAAATACATAAAATCTTTGCATAATAGTAAAAATATTATCGTAAATTTACCTATTTAACAACTGCAGATGTCGCGTGTCTCAAAGTTTGTTCAATTATATTCAAAAATGCAACTATAGTTTGGGGAAATACTTAAAGTTTAAAATCACTTCGAGCTTAACTGTATGATTTTTTTTATTCCTTGTCCAAGATTTCCTTTTAACAAACTACTCTTTTTTATCTTTCCTGACCATTCGTCTCACGAAGGTAATAGAAATCACAGGTGGTTAAAGGTGAAGGTGAACAGGATCGTTCGTATATTAGTTACTACGTAGATCTTTCTGCCAACAATGCAAAAAGATTTAAACTAAACAAAATTAGCCTTGAAGAGAAATATTTCACTACTCATCTCAGTGTTTCTTGTTTAATAAGGTCTGTCTGGACTGTTGCGCTGCGGCAAATCTTGATTCAACATCTGTTTATATTCCTCTGATTAACATAATTATTACTTAAATGTCTATTTTTTTGACAGATTCACACAAAAAGGCGTTTCTGTACATTTATTTTTTCAAAAAACTTTTACTCAAAATCCTCTCCGGACTAAATATTTTTAGATAGTGTGATCCTTGAACGGACTGGTCTTTTTGAACATGCAGGTCATGAATGCTACCGGTCATTTTATGCAGTTCTGTTTTAAATTTTGAAAAGAAAAAAACCAAAATATGAAACTGCACAGTGACATATGTCCATTTTATGTGTCACAGACACATTTGTAACTCATTTTGACCCGGTCAATCTATCAAACTTAAACGTTCTTTTAAATTTGCTTGCACTTCTTGTAAATTCAGTAATTTTATGCAGGATCTTCAGAATATTCTAGCTAAAAACATTATCAGAAAAAATACAATTTTAGCTCCAATAAAATTAACTTGCTTTTCTTTAACTTAAATTGAACATGAATGCTTTTTTTTTTTTTTTTTTTTTTTTTTTTTTTTTTTTTTTTTTTTTTTTTTTGTTCAGTACTTCTCGTAAATATATTCATTTTGTGCATGATCCCTTGAATATTTCAGCACAAATTATTATCAAAAACAAAATTAAAAAAACACAGTTGTAATTTTAACTCTAAAAGAAATGAACTTCCTTCCGTTCCCTTCTGAACAGTATCATAGGTACAGGGATCTGTTGAAAATTTTCCTCCCCTTCTGATCTATATCTAAATTGAGGAAGTAGCCTCACAAATGAGATCCCTTCTGCAGAGGATCAAAATTGAGCGGGCATGTCTTCTGATCATCCTCAGGGATTTTTCCTAGACCATCGCCAATAGCCCATTGTTCAGCCCTAATGTGACGTAAATAAAGTACCTACCTACCTCATTTCACTTCAATCGAATCTTACTTTTTTTGTATGTACTTTTTTCTTTTAAATTTTTCTTTGCTGTTTGTACTCTTCATAAATTTATTCATTTTGTGCATGATCTCCTGAATATTTTAGCTCAAAATATTATC